TTATCGAAATTCATGGTCAGAAATAATCACAATCTAGGGTCTATTATGTTACAGTTCTTGCATCAAATCAATGCATGAAAACTTAGTTATTGAACTAGAAAAATGTTTTTTTTTTTAAATAGGCAATTATGAAGTAGGAAGCCTGAAACCTAATAGCCTACTAAACAAATCTCAACAAAGTGTAGGCCTATCCTTATATGAATTAATGAAAAAGTAGCCCCAGAAAAAAGAGCCCCCGAAAATTTCCCTAAAATTTAAAATGGAGCCCCCGAAATGAAAAACTTTTTTTTCGCCAGCCTACGCATAACCTACGCAGGGACTATTTCCCCATTAATACGCAGCCTAATTTCTGCGTAGTCGGTACGCCACACTACGAAAATTTTTTTTTGCCTGCACACCCCCTCTAGAATCCCGCGGATTTCCGCGGGTCCTGAGTTGAGTGTATATATAATATAGGCGTGGGGTCCACGGGTTTCAAGGGGCCATAAACCCCCAAAAGCTCGGGGGTTACGTCTTTCAAAGTTGGGGGGGGGGGGGGAGAGATCAGATCGCAGCGAGTTGAGTGTATATATAATATAGGCGTGGGGTCCACGGGTTTCAAGGGGCCATAAACCCCCGAAAGCTCGGGGGTTTTAGGCGTATAGGGTCAGATGAGCATATTTTTAATACTTTATTTGTGACACTTGCGGGTCGCTAATTGGCGTGGGGTCAATACGTAGAGTTGCGTAGTGTTGCGTAACAACTACGCTGGCCTACGTTACTATATGCTGAGGGACGGAAAGGGGTACGCAAGATAAACAAAAACAATTCAACCTGTTTAATTTTTTTCGCCAGCCTACGCATAACCTACGCAGGGACTATTTCCCCATTAATATGCAGCCTAATTTCTGCGTAGTCGGTACGCCACACTACGGAACTCTACGCAGTTCCAGTGGCTTAAAGAATAACTACCGGTACAGTTGGATTGTTTTTTTAATTTTTATATAAGGCCAAATTAAAAAAAAAACATGTTTAGCTTCCTGTTTTTTTGAAAAATGAGAAGGAGGCCCTTTTTTAAAAAAATTTTCTTTCAAAATGGCCGCTCCGTACATTTTTCCTGACATTCAGGCTATTTTTCAAGATGGCGGCCGACAATTTTTTTTTTCTTTTTTAAAATCAGAAATACATTTTAGCACTGCTTTTCATGTTTTTTTTCTTTCAAAAAAAAAAAAAAAAATAAAAAAAAAAAAAAAAAAATAGGAGGCGGCCCCCAAAAAGGAAGCAGGCTGGGACGCTGTTTTTTTTTTCTTTCAAAAAAAAAAAAAAAAAAAAAAAAAAAAAAAACTTTTCAAAAAATTTCAAAAAAAAAAATAGGAGGCGGCCCCCAAAAAGGAAGCGGGCGGGGACGCTTAACATGTATATTTCTTAATGGCCTGAATGGCAAATAAAGTTCTTGGTGGTTTTAATTTAGACAGTCTCTATATCTATTTACACCCCCCGCACCCCTCTAGGATCCCGCGGATTTCCGCGGGTCCTGCTAGTATATGTATGATTTCCTAAAAGTTTTTTGAAAACGTGTCAACAGAAAATATCCATGGAGTTAAATGTTCTTTAAGAAGAGATCCCTAGAAGTTTAGACCCTGCATGACACAGTGTCTTTGTGAGTTGGAACTTTGATTTTAAGTCATAAAATCTCAATATTTTTTCTTAATATCTATACATCATTAAGCACTCATTTACCATGATATGCACATGAGCTCATATGGAACAAAGTCATGAATGATGATGAGATTAATGTATTTTGCAGTCCATCTGTTAAATGACTTTAATACACTATGATTAAATTCAGAGAAGAGGTCAACTTAGTCGACATAGGCTGAAGTAGAAAGTGGAGGTTTATGAAATTTTTTAAAAAATAGAAAAAATTCCCTTGCCCATTTTGAAATAGCTATCACAAAAACAATCACAAGAATTTGTTCTATTAAGATGAGTCTTTGTTACAATTTTCTTTTCACATTTCGTTTCTGATTTAGAGAATAAACTTTACCAAGATTTAAAGAGAAGGTTAAGTTCTGGGAAGAGGTGAAAAATAATTTGTGAGCGTTACTCATTCTTATTATGCAAGTGTGGAAGAACATCAGATAAGACATGTTCCCTGAAAAGCATGGCTCTTCAAATGCCTTCTTATTCTAAATATGCATGTAACATCGTAAAAATCGGGGGCCGGCTTTTTACGCCACGTGTAGTCCCATATACATCTTTCTGTGTACAGTGTTTGTAATTTTACCAAGTCTTGGCCAAATTTCTTATCATTTTGATGATTCCAGAACCTTGCAATACACACAAATTCTTATATGCTAGATGATCAACCTTTTCTGGTCGGTTCCACACAGTTTCTTTCACAATGCAATCGCATGACCAGAACTCAACTTCATCTTTAAGTTTTGCTTGGTGACTGAATCCCAATCTAGGAACCCATTTATTGATATGATAAAGATCTTTGGACAGATTGTGGGAAATGTCGGTTTGATCACTTACTGGTATAAGTCAACTCAAAAGGGCCATTTACACAGCAAACAAAAGCTGTCAGTTTGTCTCACAATGAGATTTTTGTTGGAAGTTGCTAGGCAGCTACCCATTAACACAATATAAAAAAAAAAACATTGCAAAAAGTTTCCCCTCTCCCTCTTTCTTTCTTCCCCTCTCTCTTTCTTTACTATCATCTCTCTATTATTAGCATGTTAAACAGTGAAGTAAAGATAAACAAAATCCTTTTTTCTCATGGTTTTCTGAAAGAGCTATTACTTTTTGTTTAAGAAGAAATTGAAAATTCCCGTAACATTATTCTCTGCTTTATTAAAAAAAAAGGGAAACTGCACATTTGTCATAATATTGACCCAGTTCATTTCCTCTCTTTTTTAAAAGCTGCCTTTCTGTTCTTATTGCTTTTTAAAAAGAGTTTGCCACTTTTTAAATACTAAGATTTAAGGCCTGCCCCAACCAGGAGATTATTGATATTTTTGTTTTCGCCTGCTTTTTGCTCCTCTCACCCATGGCTGTTGTATATGTCCCTTCCTCCTCGCCATCCATCCTCCACATTGGTCACTCCATTTATCTCCCTGTTCTTTTGAATGTTTTCTAAAGGTTTCTGTTTTCTTTCTTTTTCTTTCCCCTCTCCTCCTCTCCCCCTCTCCCCTCTCCCCTCTCCCCCTCTACCCCTCCCCCACACCCACATACTCACATCACACAACAACACACATTCATTTTCTCAATTTTTTTTTCTTTTTCCTTTTTATTTTCCCTTCCCTCACCCTATATCTCATAGTGTCTTTCTCTGTCTCTCTCTCTCTGTCTCTCTCTCTCTCTCTCTCTCTCTCTCTCCCCTTCTCTCTCTCTCTTTTACCCTTTTCTCTCTCTCTCTCTCTCTCTCTTTCCTCTTTTCTCTCTCTCTCTCTCTTTCCTCTTCTCTCTCCCTCTCTTTCTCCCTCACTCTATTTCTCATAGTGTCTTTCTCTGTCTGTCTCTCTCTCTCTCTGTCTCTCTCTCTCTCCCCTTTTCTCTCTCTCTCTCCCCTTTTCTCTCTCTCTCTCTCTCTTTCCTCTTCTCTCTCCCTCTCTTTCTCTTTCCTCTTCTCTCTCCCTCTCTTTCTCCCTCCCTCTCTTTCTCCCTCTCTCCCTTCCTCCCCCTCTCTCTCCCTTCCTCTCCCTCTCCCTCCCTCCCCTCTCTCTCCCTCCCCCTCTCTCTCTCCCCTCTCTCTTCCTCTCTCCCTCTCTCTCACTCCTCTTTCCCCTTCAGCATGTCTGCTGTCAAAGTCAAAGTCCAAGCACATTTACTCAATTCTATTTGTCATGGACAAAACCAGGAAGGGCATCATTCATTCAAGCTGCCTTTGACAAGTTTGCATAGTGCATTCTTCCTCTACAATAATACCATTGTATGCTACCAAGTTGATTTCAACACAATAGAAAATACAATTCTGCGCTCACATTGCCATAATGTAGAGAATACAAGTCACAATTTTAATCATGGTAATACATAATCCCAATTGCATACAGGTAATGGCCTGAGGCAAGACAAAGTGCTATGAGGCATGTAATTGTACTTTCCAGCCATGGAAACAGGTCATTTTGGTATAGTTCTTCTTTTTTCCACAATTTTTTCTTCTTCATAATTTCATAATCACATTTTTTGTATTTCATTTTTCTGAGCTGTATTTAGCGAAAGGCGAGTGATATAAAAGTAATGACATGCATTACTGTATGTTTTTGGATTATCCTATTCAATTTGCATATCTGGTATTAAAGCCCCTCTAAAGTGTTCAAAGCCCCAAATTTGCCAAAAAGTTGATGGCAAAATTTCACTTAGATTGTATCAAAATAGAGTGGTGAAGTGTGACGTCATCAAAAAATTCAATTTTTAGAATTTCTCAATTTTTTCTTCATTTTCTGAAAGAGCATCAAAAATAATGTCCAAATGTCAAAAACCAACTGAATATGTAAGTATTGGCTGAGATATGAACATCTGAATACAAAGATTGCCTATAGGAACTCAGTGTTATTTTGCTATGGTTTGTATTTCTCTTTCTCCCTCTCTCTACCCCTCTCTCTCTCTCTCCTTTTTTCTCTCCTTTACTCTCTCCTTTTCTCTCTAACTATATCTATCTCTCTCTCTCTCCCCTCCCTCCCTCCAATGAAAAGAAGAAGATGACATATACCAGTATTGATGTTAGGATGTATTCTCCTGTGAATAGACAATGATAGATAGTGCTTGATGGATGGGGGTGGGATATAGCCCATTTCCTCTCATCTGTATTACTGCCCAAATACATAACTTCTCTCTCTTCACAATCCAAAACAATCTCTCAGCTCACGTATATAGTCTGTAGACACAAACTGTTGGCACAAAATGAAATTCTATTTAAATAACCATTTGCTCCACTCCGCCCAGGTTAGATTAATGGGTACCTGGTAGGATTATTCATTATTCTTATTCTGTTTTTGTTCTTTGCTTTTTTTTTACAGGAATTTCTTCCCAACAAATTTGGTGCAAGCTTGCTTCCAACAGGTATGATTTATGATAATCAGTTATTTACCACTTTCAAAGAACATTCCAAGGAAGATTTGTCCTTCCGCCTAATGTTGATCTGTTGTTTTTTTAAATCTTGTCGATTTTAGTCTGAAGATAGAATGATCTATGCCTGTTGCTTTTAATTAATGTTAACTTAAATATAATGGAATAGTCTATTCAGACTTCAAATTGTACATGCATGTAGTTCAGCTTTTTTGTTTTGCTACAAGTTCCAACTAATACCAAAGTTTCTGATGCATATTAGATGTGCATCCATGAAATCGATTTTGATGACATTTGAATTTTGAACAGGGATAACATTGCCAACCAATCAGTGCATGTATGTATAAGTGGATGTGTAATTGCCAAAGTGACATTCTACTAAAAATCTGGTAAATGTTTCATACACCTGACAAATAATTTTATTTGTATTCCTCTCTTTTCTTTCATATCAGACACAAACATATCAGGAAGACGCAGACGTTATTGAGAAAAGGCTTGTTAATAGCACGCTTTTAAACTCCACACTTTCCTACAGCGGAGCCGCTGCAGATAATGTTACAGGTCCTGTGAATGTCACATATGAATACATCACCGTCGGTACAGAAATCGTTCGCAAGCAGGGATTCAAGAATGGCATGAACGTACTTGGTAAGAACTCATCTACTTTATTCCTTTCAAATAAAGCTTCATTCTTAACATTTAAAAAAATGATTTAGGAGTTAATTGACCCAATTAACACAATTCAATTCAATTCAATTTTATTTCGCAATATGAAATATACAAATATACAAAGTAACAGTAAATTTTAACTATGTTTACAAAGGTTGGAAGTGTGTCGCTAGCGGTTGTAAGTTTCGTTTTAATGAATTCCTTTTTTTGGTCGCACAAGGTTGGCAGTTCTGAGTATGTGCATGCATCCCTAGTGCTGCACGTACATATAGATGTTATACATGTATGTGGAACCAAATCCACGTTTGTAGAGACTGATGCTCCGTTTGGGCGGAGCACCATGTGGAAAAGTTTGATCGCCCAACTTTTCTCACCACTCTGAATAGCCTTTTCACATGCTTGCATTGTGCCGGCGATACACACAGACACAGAGCCAACAATCCACTGTTTTCTCACCAAACATCTGGTTCTGGCCTTGCGGTTTCGGGGCAGGTCTCACCACAAAAAAGTACTTCTTAAAGATTGAAACCTGACCGCAATGTCAAAAATATCCAAGGGTGTATGGAAACCTATCTACCTTTGCGGCTAAAGGCGTGTTTCTTTTCTTAAAGCATGTTACAATCTGGTTGTTTTGTGGTCTGAGCCAGATTTCTTTTCATTCAAAGCTCTTTTTTTATTGAATAAGTGGTGACCTCTCCCTTAATAGCGTACATGTATGTATGACTATTGTCTACTGTGCTCTCTCTCTCTCCCTCTCTCCCCTTTCTCTCCACTTTCTCTTCCTCTTTGTTTTTCTCTCTCTCTCTTTCTCTGCTTTCCCCTCTCCCTCTCCCCTCTCAGTCTGCTCTGCTCTCCTATCTCTCTTTCTCTCTTTCTCTTTCTCTCTTTCTCTTTCTCTTTCTCTTGCTCTACCTTTTTTTACCTGGGGATATCCAAAGTAGGTCATCAAGTGTTCCTTACATGGTTTTGATTTGGCCTTCTAAATAACTCAAGATCAGGTTCAGATAGATGTGTGTCAGGGAATCTGGTGACCACACACTGTTTGCTACTCACTGTTTGCTACGCTACATGATACTTATTCTTCATGAAGAAAGTTATTCTGTAGAAGATGTGGTAATAGATCGGGATTAAAGATGCCCTAACTCAGACCCAACACCAGCAACTTTACCATGAGCAGCAGCAAACACTTCCAACACAACCATCATCATCATAACCACCATCATGCATCACCACAACTAAACCACCACCACCACCACCACGGTTATCAATACCACCACCACTACCACCAACACCATGGCCACAACCACACCCTCAATATGACTTACACCACCATCCTCACCACTACCAATACCACCACCAAATTCACTACTACTACTACCACCACTACCACCACCTACCACCAGCTACCATCATCACCAACACCATTGGCTAAAAAATTACCATCCCTTTATCTTCACCACCTTGTCCTGTTTTTTTTTGTCACCCTTATTTGTATTTACTATACATATTAGTCTGGAATCGTTTGCATAAAAAGATCTTTCTACTCTGCAATGGAAATATTCAAGTCATTCTTAATCATGACATCAAATTGAATCACTTCTTGTATTTTGGAATATCCCTTAAGGTAATTTCTAGCAGTGACATCAATCATTTGAATAGATAACAAAATATGGGAAGGGTAGTCTAAATTGATAAAACTCATTAACAAACTTCGGATTGCCTTTAAAGGTACTATGTCCTATTTGCAGGCCCCAAAAAATGAAAAGGTTAATTCCCAACGGCATTTGAAAGATAATACTAATTTAGAACTCCCCTTAAAAAAGGGGGGCTTGAAAATGTCTTTAAGTTGGAAAATAATGACTATTAGTTGTCAAATGGACTTAGGAGCTATAGAGCCAATAAGTAATAGTCCTGATTTTCAGACCATTGTACCGCATGGTTGTACGTTTTATGCTGTGCAAAGATTCAATCAGTTTAATTTTGGCCATTACAAGAAGTGGGTTATTGATGTTGACAAATGCTCATGTACCCTTTACAGCTCAGTTTATGTATGTTATTACCAAAGAAGGAAGACAGCCAGTCAGTCACTCAATAGTGTCTGACAGTGAAGTCTAGCAAATAAACGGGTCTCCTTGCATAATTTGAATATTCGGACACTGTTAACATTTAAATTTCACAGATAGGACATACATGACATATTCATAATTCCTGCAAAGTTCTACAGCATTTGAGGTTGGCTGCAAAAGGGACATAGTATCTTTAAAGTCATGAACCTAAAGTTCACATGTCCTCTTTTCATCTTAGAGGAGGTAGACAAACCAGGATGTTAGGGGGTCAAAGGTCATCATACCCTGAGAAAGTTTGCCGGTGATGTTTTACTTCAGCACCTTGCATTTGTCCAAATTGGCAATCTTGTTAAGTAATTTTCTGTATTTGATTTGGAAATGAGGTGTTTTCGTGACATTTGGTAAATTGGTTCATTGATAGCCTTGCAGGGAAGTGATGATAGAGGTATCATTGTGCTCGTGCTCTGCATGTGAAGCATTCAAATGGATGTCCATCAGTACAAGCCAGCCAGCTCCATGTTGACATGAAATTATTTATTTCTTCTTCTCTCTTTTCTTACTTCCCTTGGCCATCACATATTCAGAAATCCAAAGGTCATGGCCCGATCCGTGGGCAGCAGGGCACTAAGCCACTAATGTTCTTCGACAAGACACTTATGTTTGTTGACAAGACATACCTAATGTCTTTCTCACTCTCTTGACCCAGGGGTAGCACCTGCTAGAATCTATTTCTTTGAATGCAATGTGCACTGAGAAAGATTGTTTGTGCTCAAGTTGAGGAAAGCAGGGAAAAAATACAAGGGGGCTTGGGGCGAATTAGCCCCTGAAATGCCAAAAATAGCCCCCGAAAGTCATATCAGAGCCCCCAAATTTTGCATAGAGTTCAATGCAAAACATATTAAAGATTATCATTTTCATGCAAGCAAGGTTGAAAAGTAGCCCCCAAAATTGTTAAAGTAATTCTTTCCCTGGAATGTGCTTTACATGAATAATCTAAACAGCAGTCATGATGAAAGCATTCTACTTCTACATTTCATTATGTAGTCCTAATTGTTTTCTCAATATTTTGATCAGGAATTACATGAAATTTGTATGTAGCGTTTCATAAATTATTGAGCTTTGAAAATACAGGTTTGACTTAGGTAACGTAATAGAAACTTAAGGCTACACCGGGCGATGGCCAATCAACATCCGTCTTTCCCCTCAAGAAATATTGGACTTGCAAACCAGCAGCAAATATAGGGGAGAGGGAGGGGGGGGGGGGGAGGAAGATTTATTGAATGTCCAGTTTATGCTTGCCTTAACTAAACAGATTCATATATAAATTGGCATGTCCTGTCCAGACGATATATATTACATTTATAAAAGAAAGTCTTTTAAAGAATCATCGTATAAACCTAAAGGAGCGTAAAGATTCAGTAACCACATTGTACAAAGAAACTAATTTTTGACGTTGTCAGTTTATACGACAGTCATGAGTACGTGGTAATGCTAAGCCCCATCCAGTTATACAACTTTTATACTAATACAACATTTAGACTAGAACGGAATGCTGATTCTTTATCGATTTTTCTTTCGAAACGATGCCCAAACTGGCATTTCTTTATACGTTTCTTTATACTATATAACTAGCTGTAGCTATCTATGATTCTGGTATAGCTATACAAAGAATTTTAGTGGTCTGAAAAGGGGAGTTAAATGATTTTTAAACTGTCCACTGCTGTATTTCCATTTTTGCCGAGGCGCAATCGATAAATTAGCCTGTTCACATTAAAGCTATGGGTTAAATTGACCAAGGCCCCATCTTAGTAAAGAGTTGCGATTGATCAAATCAATTGCAAGTCCTATCAATCGTAAGTTTGCAGTCTCACATCTTCTTATGTACATAGTTGTGATTAATATCAACTCTTTATAAGACAAGGCCCAGATGTACTCTTTTGTAAATAAGAAGTTTTACATGTGTAATAGCCATTGCATTTACATGTTCATCGTAGGTAGTTTTGATGAATACAGGCCTTTGTTTACATTGCATACAATAGAGAAGAGAACCATAGTTTAAACATTGCTTTTATATACATTTAACTTGGTTAAAAAGTAGTTAAGTTAAACAAATGGCATATCATTGTTTTTGAGAAAATAACCATAACTTGAACTATTCTCATATCTTGTAATAAACATAATAGACATGTTGGAATGTGATTGATAATGGTTCACTCAGCCTCATGTGAAGGGAGCCAGGCTAAGTTTAAGAGCCGCTGGTCCATTGGAGGATGGAAAATTTGTTTCTGATTGGCAGCTTACCCCAAGCAGACGGCCAATTATCTGTGGAAGCTTGAGGTTAAAGGTCATGGAGAATGTTCTTTCTTTCCCTGTTTTCTGGATACTTTTGGTGGGAACCTGTTGGTTCTTGATGGCTACAATTCACTCCATTCAAAGAAGACTTATGTAGTTATGCCACATGAAGGATCCCTGTACTTTTTTGTCCTTGTACAAAGAAAAGCTTCAAAAGGTAGCTTCCGTTATTGAGTCCCCCCCCCCCCCTCCCTCCCTCTCTCTCTCTCTCTCTCTCTCTCTCTCTCTCTCTCTCTCTCTCTCCCTTCTCTGTCTAACTTGTTTTCTGGCATTTTCTCTCCTTTGTCTCAATACATGAGAAAAAAGGTATTGTCTGTGATATATATATATATATTTTGTGGAGTTGGGGGGGGGGGGGGGTAAAAGGGGAGGGGGTACTGCCATGCATTTACGAGAGACTTTTACAAAATTGTGTGACAAGCTTAAGAAATATTAAATAAAAGGAAAAGGAAAGGGAGAAGGTTCTATCACTTTTTAAAGGTTTTCTTCATTACTCTGAAGACCAGAACACCCAGGTTTTATGGGTTTGTAGGTCAATATGGATCATGCCTTAATTGTCCACATGTAGGGCAAAGACTGAAAAGACATTTTTTTGTTTACAGCATGGATAAACTTGGAATGTGCTTGCAAGTTTCAAGTAACCGAAGAGAAAAGGGCCCCAAAATGAGACCTCAGATTTTCGAAATTGAGAAGAAAAAAATGAAACATTGTCGCTGTTTATAATTGAAAGGTGGTTATTTTACCTGACTGCTAAGGCAGCATAAACACTTGTAAGTAAGCATCCAGACTGCCGACGGCTTTAGGTCCTCTCCGAGGGACCTGGTAATGAGGATTAATGCCTTACCAAAGGGCACTAGTGCATCGCCTTGGTTTCGAACCCGGGTCACTGTATTACGAGACCACTGCTCTACAGCCGAGCTATCAATTGTGATTCTCTTCCAGGTCAAGAAATCCAATTCATATGCCACCTGACTTACCTGTGGAATTATCTTTCTTGTTCTTTCCTCTTCCAGGAATCATCGCTTTCTGCATCTTTTTTGGTATTCTTCTGGGCCAGATGGGAGAGCGTGGTCGTGTTATGGTCCAGTTCTTTGACATCCTCTCTGACCTCACCATGCAGATGGTCAACATCATTATGTGGTAGGTCAAGCTAACAAGCTACTTCATTTTCTGATTAAAGTAGTCCTTCTTAGTTAGGGGAATTTAGTAGCAAAAAAGATGCATCCGGAATGCAAAATGCATAATTGTTGAAAAAATGTTATCACGTTGAGTTGAACCACATTATTATATCTTAACATGCCACTAAATCTACTTTAGGAAGCTTTTTACAATAATTCTTATGCTTACATGATATTTGATTATCGCATTTTCATGCTTATCTAATACTTAATTGTTCTCAATTTGTGCATTGTGCGTTGTGGCAGATTAGCCTTGTTCAAAAAAGTAGTCCAATAAAGTTGTCTACTACTATTTATTTAAAAAAACATACCACTATTACAAATTCATATAGATGATCCTTTGTCTAGATTAATCTCAAGTTTCTCCATTCTCTTGTTATCAGGTACTCACCTATTGGCATCATGAGCCTGATCTGTGCTAAGATCCTTGATATGGACAACCCTGCTATGGTCTTCTCTAACCTGGGTCTCTACATGGTGACTGTCTTGCTGGGGCTGGTCATCCATCTGGCCTGTCTCATGACCATATACTTCACCATCACTCGCAAGAATCCCTTCACATTCTTCAGAGGTCTCCTACAGGCCTGGCTCACTGCTCTCGCTACATCCTCTAGGTAACTAAGACTCCAACCATTCTGTTGACAGGCAGATCTATTAAAGCCCCACTGCACTACTTGCGCCCTCTATATATAGCAAACAATGCCTAATCGGTGACCATTGGTCCCCATGATCCTCTTTTTCTTATGTGAATTGGGAGCTTATTTGATGAGATAACCACCTGTCATTGACCTTGCAGGGAGGTCTAATCCCTCCTGGCCGAACTAGTGCAGTGGGGCTTTAACAGCTGAACCAGTCAGCTTTTCTATCTTCAAATTGGCAACAATGATCCCTGTTTATTTTTCCTAATAAAGTATCACGTGACTGAAAAAATGTACATAAATCTTAAAGCCTGTCTGCACTAGTTCGTCCAGGAAGGATTAGACATCCATGTGTGTTCACTGACAGGTGGTTATCTCATCAAATCAGCTCTCAATTAACATCAGAAAAAAGGGGATCATGGGGGACCAACAGCCACCACTTAGGCATTGTTGGCTATATAGAGGGTGCAAGTAGCTAATAGTAGTGCAGTTTCGCTTTAAAAATAAACGGGGATGAAAACGATATTCAAAAGTGATTAATGAACTACAATTTGTTTTGCAAGAAAGTGATTTTGAACTATCATATTGCCAATTAGGTCATTTACCTTTCGAAAGTACCTTGTACCAATCTGTATAAGGTTAAAAATAGTATGTTTGTTTTTAAATATATGGGGGAAAAATAGATGCAAAAAAAATGCAGAAAGTTTTGCACTTTCATATTATTATGGCTCTGAACCAAAACGTTATTGAGCCTAACTGCAAAACCGCTCTGTATAATAAGATAACATGCTTTTTCCCTTCTTTGCAGCTCTGCGACTCTCCCAGTCACATTCCGTTGCCTGGAGGAGAACCTAGGTATTGACAAGAGGGTGACACGCTTTGTGCTGCCCATTGGAGCAACAGTTAACATGGACGGTACTGCACTCTACGAAGCAGTAGCAACTATCTTTATCGGTCAGCTCAATGGCTATACTTTGACCATTGGCAAAATCATCACAATTAGGTAAGGTCAACTCAATCAGCAGCTCAATGGAATGGATTAATAATGGTTTTAAATCTTTAAAGTTGTGTACAAGATGAAGGCAAACTGTCAGACCCAAAGATGTCATTACTCATAGCTGATGATTGAAGTGGTTGAGATATTTTGGATTAAAAACAAAAGAAACCCATGTTTGGCAAGTTCCAATATGAACCAAGAGAAACTACTGTAAAGTTTTATTTGGATGATGAATGATAGTATCGTCTTCAATTTGTTGGGTTGCTCATCCAAATGTGAAGATCGCCTTTGCCCAAGTTTAAGATGAATGCATACATTGTACACTGTAGCTGCCAATCATTCCTACAGTATTTTGGAGGAATGATTCCTCTATTGTGACTTTCAGACTAGTGTTATGAACCTTAAGCTTACAAAAGACACTGCCTTCCTAATGTGACCTTGAGAGATTCCTATTTTGCCCCACAGATGTGGAGGAGTTACTTTCCTAACATGTGAATAATAATAATAATAATACAAATAGCGGGTTTGTGTATAGCGCTCATGTCAGTCAGATTTGACCCTCCTGGCGCTCCAGATTATTACCCTGGCTTTAGCACGGCTGCCATAAAGCGCTCTAGCATTTCAAGGAATAAATTCCTACCAGGTACCCATTTACTTCACCTGGGTGGAGTGTGGCAAATGTAGATCAATGTCTTGCTGAAGGACACTAGTGCGGCAGCGGGACTCGAACCGCGGACCTTGTGATCGACAGTCTGGCGACGTATCCGCTCGTCCACAACACCTCTACACCTCTCTTCTTTCTCTCCATAGCTTAACAGCAACCCTAGCGAGTGTTGGAGCTGCCAGCGTACCCAGTGCAGGTCTCATCACTATGCTCCTGGTTCTTACAGCTGCAGGCTTTCCTGTTGAAGACGTCAGTTTGCTTTTTACCGTCGACTGGTTCTTGTAAGTTTTAATCACTTCATTTGCTTTGTACTCATATATTGACTCAATTTTTTTTCTTTTTTGTATATGTAGTTAAGCACCCTATGTTGGTGAATTTTGTTCCCACTTATAAAGGTCCTGCCCAAATGAATACACAAAAAACATGATTAAACTTTGTTTTGAAGGTGTGAAAATAGTCACATTCCAAACCAAAGAAACCATGTCATAATAGCAATGAGAAAAGCTAAACCTCAATATGACCATTGATGACCTTGGCAGGCACCAGCCAATACTATCTGCTGGAATACAAGTTAAGTTTTAAAGGAATTTCCAGTTCTTCCTAATCATTTCATATTTTGAAATTGAGCATAATGAACTGAAATTTATCTATGACTAATTATCTGAAAAAGAAATGTGTGCATGTGAGGTACATGAGCCATGTCCTAATAAGATTTGTACTTCCCACAGACATGTATCAGTAACCTCTTATTTGTTAAAACAGAAGTGTTGAATTGATTTCTCCCATCTGTTATACCACCATTGTATCAAAAGATAGATAACAAACAGAATAAATATCCTCTGAGGCTTGACAAAACTATGGGCAATTTGTTAAAATTAATGTTCTGATGGCAAATTGTAACTAGAATCTCCATTCTATATACACATGTAGTATATTCAACAAACAAACAAAATATCCAATGTATTTTTTTTTAATGATAACAGAGTAAGATAAATGGCTAAAAGGATAGTTGAGTTCTGTTGTAATAATAATAATTTTATTGTGAAATAATGAAAAACTGAGTGTCAAATTTGAAAGAATACAATTTAACCCGTTCAGCTCGGCATTATTCAGCCTGATAGCCACCTCACAAACGAGATTAAAAATCGAACACGCCGTACCGTGAGACCGCTCAGCGCGCGCCACAATGCGTGTGCGTTCAAGCGGCCAGAGGCTTCGACTAACGGGAACCTAGCGCATGCGCAGATCATTTGCCAATCTGGTCTTGTCATGTCGAGAACACGTTGCACGGCCGTTTTCTGCTGTGCTCCAAGCCTCTCAGTTCTTTCAGCTCTTTCGTAGGGTTTTCTTCTTCGTTATCTTTTCTTCTTCTTCTTCGCCTCATTCTTATTTTGTTCTTCTTCTTTCTCTTTTTATTTAGATACTCAATTTTATGAGAAAAATACACAATTTATAAGAAATTAAGGATTTGAATGTAAATCTCTGTTGCATCATATTCATATGAAATAATTTACCAGCCTAAATTGACGGTTATAGTATTATTTTGTCGGACATTATACTATAGCGAAAAGATATAGACATGATAAAATGAAACTAAAGAAGAATCCAGAATGGGGGAGGGTTGGGGTAAAAGGAGAGACAAAATAGAATAATAATAAATAAATACAGTACAGACGATACCGATGTGCCATTTGGAGAGCAAAATAATTAGTTTGTTTTATTTACTAATGTAAAGCGCTTTGAGCATGTTTATGCCATATAAATATCAATATGTATGAATATATTGCCAAATTTTGACAATTGTAGTTTGTAAGTATATGTATTGACAAAGTATAAATACAAATAAAACCGACACAGAAATGTCTGCAAGTATTTGGGACATATATAGAATGTGCGAAAAGAGCTTTGTCTTTGTCTTTGGCCCATGCATGTTCCCACAGCTGAGTTACGTAAGAGGAACAATGAACGTTGCTGAGGGTACGGGTCGTTGTCATGGCTATAAACTCTAAAGAGCGGAAGTAAGGTAAGGGTATAATTGAATAATTGGATGACAGATCTGAGATTATATTATCAAAACAAAAGAGAAGAGTATGAATTTACAAATAGTACCAAAAAATAGAAGTAAAAAATAAATAAAGTGAAAGGCGTAAATATTCTTAAAAAAAGAATGAAACGCCGATAATACCAAACAACAACAACAACAACAATGAACTGACTTTGTATTCATGTATAACCCTGCTTTATGTTGTTTTTGGGGAGGGAAGGGTCTTGTTGTTATTGCAGTTGTCGTTGCTGTTTTTTAAATTTTTAAATGGGATCACGTTCCGACATTCTCATAAATAAAAATCATATAACGTAAAGCCAGACTTTACCCTATCTGAAACACTCATTCAAAGACAACAATCATGCACGATAAAGGAATGGACAAGAATATGTGATAAAGATAAAATGTCACAGACAAATAGATAATTATAGAAATGATTGTTTCTCTCTCTCTCTTTCTCTCTGCTTATGTGTCTCTCTCTGTCCCTCTATCTCTCACTCGATCGCTTTCTCTGTCTATCTGCCAATTTTGTTCCGCCGTTTGCTTGTATGCCGGCAACATTCCTTTTTTGAGATAGATTATTATAAAATAATGATGATGTACACACTTTATTATACCTTATATTTATTATAGCGAGCGAAGTGAAAAACGAGCGGCTGATAATGTCTAAATGCGAATAATTATATTTCCAAAGTAAAACTTTTGAATGAAAATCTCTGTTGCAACAAATTGATATAAACACTGTTTATTATGCTATATTGACTATACTATTATACGTCGGACATTATACTTCAGCGAAAAGATATCTATATGATAACAAAAAGGACAGACTAAAGGCGACAAAAATCGGAGCTGGGGTGGGGGGGGGGAGGATGATCGGAGAGACAAATATCATATAAATAAATACAGTACGGACTACGTCCAACTTTCTATCTCTCTCGCCCCCTTCCCCCTCCCCTTTCTCTCTCTCTCTCTCTCTCTCGCTCGTTCTCTCTTTCTCTTTCTATTTCCCCTCTCTCTCTCTCTCTCTCTCTCTCTCTCCCTCTACATGTCTCTCTGTTTATCTGGCAATGTCGTTTTCCATCTTCATCTTTTTTTATTAAATGTTTTCTATTCCTCCGTTCGTTTGTATGCCGACATCATCTCTTCCTTGAGATTAATTATTATAACGTAATTATCCCTGATAATGTACACATTATACCTTATATTTATTATAGGAAACGAAATAGAGAACGAGCGGCTGATAATGTCGAAATGCGAAGAATATTACTGAACAATAATTATATTTCCAAAGTAAAACTTTTGAATGAAAATTTCTGTTGAATCAAATTTATTGATATAAAAAAAATGTTTAAAATGCTATATTTACAATACTATTATACGTCGGACATTATACTTCAGTGAAAAGATATCTATATGATGAAGAAAAAAAAGGGCAAACTAAAGGGTAAAAAAAAAATCGGAGCTGGGGGGGGGGGGGGGGGGGTGATCAGAGAGACAAATATTATATAAATAAATACAGTACGGACTACGTCCAACTTTCTATCTCTCCCGCCCCCTAGCTTTCCCCTCCCCTTTCTCTCTCTCTCTCTCTCTCCCTCGTTCTCTCTCTCTCTCTCTTCCCCCCTCTCTCTCTCTCTCTCTCTTTCTGTCTTTCTGTCTATCTGGCAATGTCGTTTTCCATCTTCATCTTTTTTATAATGTTTTCTATTCCTCCATTTGCCTGTACGCCGGCAGCATCTCTTCCTTGAGATTTATTATTATAACGTAATTATCCCTGATGATGTACACATTATATCTTATATTTATTATAGGAAACGAAATAGAGAACGAGCGGCTGATAATGTCGAAATGAGAAGAACATTACCGAACAACAATTATACCAAGTAAAACTTTTGATTGTAAATCCCTGTTGCATCAAACTGATTGATACACAAATTGTTTATTATGCTATAGTGACGGTACTATTATACGTCGGATATTATACTTTAGCCCAAAGATATAAACAAAACAAAACAAAAAAATGGAAAGAAAAAATGTGAGCTTGAGCGGGGGGGGGGGGTTCAACCTATCGTGTCAATAAAACTTAGATAATCCTCGTTTCATGATCAGTTCTGTAGATGGCATGTACATGCATACATGATAATGATAATGATGATGATGATGATGATGATGATGATGATGAAGATGATGCTTACAATATTGTAATAAAATAGTAATAATAATAATAACAATTATTTTCTTCATCTTGCACTCGCTTTTCTTCATTGCCAGAAAAACTTGTTTTATGTTGCCTTGCATTTTTTTCAACAATGGTAGCATCTTTGCCCGGGAAAAGTCTCATATTCGTGGCTTTACCGCCGGAGTTGCTCAAGACAAGAGTAATATTCCGTAGGGAGAGAGAGGAAGAGTAAGGGGTCGTTTTTCAGAACATAACATTTGAACATTTCATATGCCCGCTCAAGCCAAGACCGGCTTTAGGTTGATCAAGATATTTTACTTCAACCTGCTCTAAAACTGTTACATGCCCTCGTAAAGGTGTATAAGTTAGAGTGGTTGTTTGTATTGTAATGTAAATTGACCTATTTACACCTACATCCTCTTCTTTCAAAACGGCAATCTTCCAGAGTAGTTACTTCTTTACATTCTTTTGTTCCCCCTTAGCGTGGGGCAGCTGAGGGAGCCTGGATAAGCCTTTCATAAAAGAGGAGGTCCATACATGAATGATTCGCTAAATTGGTCAAGTTGATAACATGAAAAGCGTATTAAGTCATGTAAATACAATGACGTAAAAGATAGCTGTGGAGTCAAAACTTTTGAGGCGACAGGCTTTATAGATAACTTATGGAAATATCTTCGAATGTTGTTGTTTCATATTCTTCATTTTCTACGTCCGATGAATACTCTTCTTCGCTTGATAAGTCTATTTGTATCATATTCATTTTCTGAGTCCGAGTCAAGGATCGCTTCTCGAGCATCTTCAACGCTAAAAATAGGCTTTCTCCGATGACGAGACATTTTGAGAAACTATCTTACATAGATAAAGAGCAGTTATAAGCAAATAATTGAGAACCAATTTGTGCAACCAACTATCATGAAAATCAAAAAGCTGAACTAAATAGTAAAACTCCGACACTTTATAGCACGATAAGTAAATAATAGCCGACAACCTTGAAACGAAACAATGGGATGGACTATATCGAGACTAGCTAATCTCCCCAATAATAGGTCGGCCCGGTACCCTGTATACGTACGCATGAGTAAACTGAACTGAGATCGCTAGGTCGAACGAGACTGTAATATACTATAAGCTTTTCAATAATCGGCCCGTTACCATGAATAGGCTGAATAGGCGTCAATGACCATATAAGGCCACGGCTCATGTATTGAACGGTGTATCCGCGCGTGCCGAGTACAAAGGTATCCAGAGCGAGTGTGGAATTCGCTGCTTGCAAAATCATTATGTCCGGCTTACACAGTCGTAGGCATAGTAGACCCAGCTAGCTAGCAGCAGCGAATCCGAAAATCTATGAAAATAACGTAAACTGACTTGCATGTGTTCTATACGAATATCCTGAAAGAGGACTCGTGCATTCTCATGCTAAACTTGTAATAAAACAAAAATTACGCATCTACAGTCGGTAAAAAATGAGATGCATGTAGCCAAAGGTTCAAGGTTTGTATACAGGTAGTTTATATTGTATTTAGAAGGTGAATAGATGTACTTTTCTGCAATAAAAGAAGCCCTTGCTCGGACCCGAGAAATCTCGGTTCCCGTTTGTGAGTACGTACCTCGGGACCCGAGAAATCTCGGTTCCCGAGTTGAACGGGTTAAATGACAAAATTATCTTGGTTTGATCAAAATCGGTTTTGAGACGGCTGAAATATTCATAAATTTAACCATTTCTAATACCTGTGGTCCCCCTCATTTATTCAGTAGTTTTGAACCAGCCGTTGAAAAACGATACAGCACCTTGTACGTTTTATTTCAGCCAACGCAAAAAATTGCCAATATTGGCTTTTTGTAGGCTTTTTTGTGTTACTGGTAGTTATATTATGCACAACCAGCTAGCACTGTATTGTTATTATTAATTAATTGATTAATTAACGGTCACCATATATTTTTGAAACTGAAGCCGAATTGGTATGATCGTATTCAATCTAAATCCACACATTTTGGGGTCTACCTTCATAGCAATTTCAGGTTCTAAAAGGGCACTAAAAATGTCTTAAATAAGAATAATAGCAATAACCATGCACTTTGAAGGCATTTGCGATCTTAAACAAGAACTCATTCTATCCCTTTAACTATTGATAGAAGAAAAAAAATTAATGGAAGCTTTCTCAACAAGTCTTTGTTTTTACATTTGACAGGGATCGTTGCCGTACATCTATCAACGTTGTGGGTGATTCTTACGGAGCTGCCATTGTGCATCATCTTTCTAAGAAGGAGTTAGAGGCAATCGATAGAGAGGTAACGTAGATATTTCATTAAAGGGGATTCAACCTCTAACTTCATGTTAATTTCATTTTGTAGGCCATCTAAAACATTACCGGTATCTGAAAAATATAAAACATCATACGTTTGCCAAACGGGAAGACATTACTCTTCTTCAGAAACCTTTGTCTTTCGCAACTCTGAGAATTTCAGAACGTCGCCATTGTGTTTGCGCAAGGCCCATGCATTCTGGGACATATCGCACGGATTCGACCACTATTGCGTGCATATTAACGTTTCCCTGCTATAAACTTTAAAATGATCACTGCAGATCACATCGTTTTCCCTGTCATGCTTGTACTTTTTGTCCAGAAATTTCTCCACCTTCAGAGCTGCTACTTATAGCTTGAATATTTCATTGGGATTATGTTGGTCTGGAAACCGATGAAACAATGTCCCCTTGGTTTTTGTTAGGAACAATTATTGCAACCAAACACTTGGCAGTTCGCCATGTTTGACGTGTATTGCATGTAACATGTGCAATACTTTGCAGGTCAAAACTTCTCTTTTTTACATAAATGCATTACAACAGGTTTATTCACGATTTGCAAAGAAAACAAATATTATAGATGTACGTTAGACCCTCAACCATTTCTCACCTTTGCAATGCATGCAGGAAGCCGAGATGGAGCTGGAAGGTGGCAAGGACACTGAATACACTGCTAACGGCAAGCCAGAGATGAGAGATGGTAATGCTGTAGCCGACATTGAGAAGAAAGATGGCGACAACTGGGAGTCTGGATTCTAGACTATGCCCCTTGTTACAAGCCATACCTACCCCTGTATACCAATACAGGCAGTTTTTGTGTACATTTGTATTTTTTCTGTTTTCTTTTTTTTATATATATATTATATATATCTATAGATATATATGTATATATATATATATTTTGGCAAGTCTTTGAAGAATAAGATGGAATTTTGTTGTTGATGGCAACAAGATATTGTTAGAAGGCATGAGTTGAAATCACTTAGCTTGCATCACTATGGAGACTTCCAGGTGCAAGGAAGGGAGCAACAATGAAAGGAGATGTGAAAATAATGATCATGTGACCATTATTGCATTGTGGGTAAATGTGTAGGTACGGAGCTTTAGTGACAAGATTGGATGTATGAAAAGTAAAACCACTTTAGAAAGAGAGAGAGAGCAGGAAAGGAAAGAAAGAAAGAGAGAGAAATGAGATAGAGAGAGGGGAGTAAAGAATGGCAGAATGAGAAAAGGAGAGAGAAAGAAAAAAAGGATTGAGGCAAAGAGAGTGAGAGAGAGAGAGAGAGAGAGAGAGAGTGTGTGTGTTAGTGTGAGTGAGTGAGTGAGTGAGGAAGAAAGGAGGGTATTCCAAAGATATTAATTTGACACATTAAACAAAACAAAATTCTTGAAAGCAGCACAAATTTTCAGAAATTCAAACAAGCTAACAGAGTTTATGTGAAAGATTCATTCTTAATACTTTACCACAAATTAAACTTTCTTTCAACCAGCTGGATTTCAAGCTAAGAAAACATTTGGTCTGAAATTTCTGGAAAATATAAAGGAATTTTATGCCACAATCAAATTGTATTCAGTGGGTTATTATAATAACTTGACACGAGGCCTCAATAAGGGCATCTTTTGCAACACAATACAGGGGTAAAATGACTTTATTTGCTGGTTTAGAAAAGGGAATTTCATCTGAAGTCGCAAACCAACATTATGCTGGAGATTATTTTAATGTTGGTCAAGTGATATATTTTAGTCCCGGCTTATTTTTCCTCATATTGTGGCAGAAATGAGAGTAGGGTTGATAAGGCGCTTTTGCCCACACACAAGCGGAGATTGTTTCTTCATCAGTTGGAAGTTTACTTGTATTGTAAAATCAACTGAAAAGTTCCATTGCACAGAAAATCAGTATTGATGGAGAAACCAATGTACAGTATGTATTGTTAATTTTCTATATCAGTAATTACATTTAAAGAGTTTTTTCTGTATTGATTCGTCTTGAAATGTTAACCCAAATTTTTGTTATGTTTGAATTTTCTATGGAGGCATAGTCAAATCATTTGTATATTTTTATTCCTAGCATTAATGTATAGGCAACTTCTCAAAGACATACAAAGCTTGTATCAAAATTTGTTCACAGCAGCGAACTTGTCGTAGAAGTTATGATGCAAAAGAGAGTACCGGTACGTTTAATGCTGCAATCAAATTTTGTCATAATTGTGAGGTGCACAAATTCTAAAATGTCAAAATTATGATATAGCAGATGATTTTCAAAGTTGTTTGTGATGGAAAGGTCAGTGACCCATACCATAAAATTATGGGTATCAGATAGATTTTACTAACACCCCTTTCATGGTCGATATACCGAACCAATTTCTGATATACATGTTGTCTGCATATTTTGGCTAATACCATAGTCAGCTGTGCAGGCAAACTAAACAAAGTACACCCAAATCTGGCTGCTTTCAGAAAAAAAGGCAAATCAGAATAATCCTTGCTGGCTAGTAAAGCTTGAAGGGACTAACATACTTCATCTTTGAGCTGTTAGATAGGATTTACTAACACCCTTTGTGGTTGATATACTAAGATTCTAATATGACTCAAGTTTATTGCAGTCCGATTTCATGAAATGTCCGGCCAGCTGTGACCTTGTGAAGATACACACATATTTAACAACTCAAATTGGGATCTCTTGTCATAAAGCCCAAGTGTTCTGATACAACTCATATGTATGTAAAGGAAAACTTGGGTAATAATGCCTATCTGTTTCTTTCATATCCATCTCTCTTGTTATCATTATCATTTACAAAGTGAGAGTAAATACATGTATTTTCCAAAGTCTTATTTCTATCTTTCTTCTATCACTGTATGTGTATATCATAGTGTGAAATAGTGTTCATTTTGTACATCTCATGTTTTATGAGTCATTAGTACAGGGTCTTTTACGGACACCAGGGCAGTCAACAATTTGTTTCTCTTTTTCATAAAAGAAGCATCTGAATGAATATGTTACATATGTTCTTACAAGAAGAAAAACAAATTAACAACAAAGCAGAGAAATGCTAATCATTTCTTAAACAATACCTTCATTGTGTAATTTGTAAGATGTTTAAGTTTCATAAATGTCTACCTCTAGAAAGAAAATGAAAAATACAACAGCAAAATTGCTCTTTAACTTTGTAATAGAGATAAGCCAATAATTTACCATATTCGTCATACTGAGTCATGCAAACAATTTGATAGTTCTTTTGTAACAGTATTTTGATGGTTCCAGCTAACACATCACCACTATTGAGTCAGGGTGCATTTCTACAGCTTCTATTCCTATTTACAAAACTTGATTGTTTTAAAACTGTTAAGAATAACCATTGTGAAGAAGGACAAAAATTTGGATTTTGAAATATATTCACAATTGCACCCATGATAACTTTAATATCATAGGTGATCAAATAATTAAATTCATTATCGTCAAGAAAATGATTCAATCAAAGTGTTCTCAGTGTGTGAAGTAGCATCAATACCGTCAATTCGAAGAACGCAACCATGATTGCAAGATTGCTCTTAGCACAAGATATACTTTGTGTATCTTCAATTTGTAGCTCAAATAATGCACTAGCTACAGTCCACTGAATCAGTGTATTCTAGCTGTGCCTCAAGTATTCCAAAATCTGCAGCTTGGAGAATACAATCATGTTTAACAGCCAAATTGCATTCAAAGTATCATGTATGATTGCTCTCTCTCAGAATGCAATCATGTTTTACAATGGTTGTGCATAAAGTAAACTTGTTTAGCAGCTTTGAGAATGCAATCATGTCATCAATCTAATTGCTTCCATGGCATAATTCACATTCAATACACTGTAGGCCTATGTTGCTCCAGAGAATGCATTCATGTTCACACAATGAGTGCATTCTAAACTTAATGCCATCAAAATTCATCAAATCAGCAGCTCAGATAATGCAATCTTTGTTCTAGGTTGCACTCAAGTCACCAAGTAACTTTCATCCGGTTACCTCAGAAATGATACACATTTTCCTTTCTCATGATTCTTCCAAACACCCTCTTCATCTCCCCAAATTACTCATTAATTTATATTTACCGGTAGCTAATAATTAGTATGTAATTAGAAAAGTTCTAAAAAAAGCTATTAAAAAAAGTATTTATCACTTTCTTTTAGAAGATAAAGCGATTATGTAATCTGTACAGACTGTAACCTCAATATGTATCCCTTCCATTATAACATAATGTATGTACAATGACATATTTGGTATACCAATTTGTATTTTTGCACTTGTAATTTTTTGTGATACATTAACAAGATATATCATGTACGACATGTCAGTCGAATATAAAGTGAATATGTGGAACAGTGAGTGATTTGATCATTGTTGTGATGGTGTTTAGATGTATTACGAATTTGTGGAGCAAATACAAGAAAAAGAGGTGATTTTGTTTCTACCCCAGTGGGCTGTATATACTGTCTCTCACTTGAGATAGGCAGCAATATGAAGTTAGTATAACTGTGTAGCATGCTAGCAGTTCCAGTGGCTAATAAGCAACTTTCTTTTAAGCTACAAAGAATGATCACATTTCATTTTGCTCTCTCGGTTTTTTTTTTATTTCTTTCAGCATGCCAGTCAATTGATATCATTTTGAGGCTTTCCTGTTAAACAAACCTTTTTATGAACTATGGCAAACAAGAAAGTAAGAGATAAGCTGTAAGAATATGATATGAAGATGTCATTTTAGTAGATGTAGCCATTTATTATAAAGTTCATTAGTTGGGAGAGGTGCTGTGGTCCAGTGGATAAGTCTCTGTATTGTGAACCACAGCACTAATGTCCTTTGGCAAGACATTCATCTACACTTGCCACACTCCACCCAGGTGAGGGAAAAGGGTACCCGGCAGGAATCAATTCCTTAAAATGCTCGAGCGCTGTAATGGCGGGAGCAATAATAACGGAGCACCAGGAATGCTGTACAAGACTCCACTATTATTATTCCGTTATCACAAGTTCTTTGGCCGTTTAACATTTTCAGTCAAAGGGTATTCTATATTTAATAGTTGAAAATTGAAATATGATAAACCATACAGTGTAGTATTGATACTCATTCATGCGTGTCATGTACATGACTTGTACTTTTGATCACATTTACAGATATTAACCAACTAACAATTGGTTTTCCTTTTCTCTCTGGTAAATCAGGTGTAAATATCACCTAACAAAAAAAAGATACCTGGTATAAAGATACATTGTTCTTATACTATCTCTCCTTCAGAAAGGAAATGTCAATGTGATTTTTTGGGAAGTGTTCAGTTTAAAAACACAAATTGTGGAAATAAACGTCATTGAGAAATCCTGTTTATATTTTCCTAAAGGAGCCCGGCAGAGTTTGGTTGTTTGTATAGTGAATCACCACTTCTATTGTTAATGTCTTTATATTGTCATGACAATGTAGTAGAAGAGACATGTTGTATATTGTATGTATAAATATATTTACTCTTTTAGGATACATATACACAAATATTTACTCATATTTTTGTAAATACAGTATAAGTATGTAACGTAAGTTTGAGCATTAAGACTTGTGATATTTTCTACCACTGGTTTGTTTTCATAGGAAATGATAGTAATGTGCTATTTTTTTCAAAATGAGGAGAAAAAAAATCCATCCATTATGAAGTAGAAAGTTGTATACAATGTATATGATCAGCTGTTATTGACCAAGATATAATAGATTTGAAGATGGTTTTGAGTAGCCTACGTACTGATGACATAATTGAAAAAGAACCAATGATTCTAATGGAGGTTTTGTGGTATAGTGGTTGATTCACTTGACTCTCAATCTATGGGTTGGAGGTTCAAATCCCAGAGCGGCACTTACGTCTGTTAACAAGGCGTTAACCAATATATTCACCAATCTCCACCCAGATGTAATTGGTACTTGGCAATCGCTGGGTAATAATACTTGCATGGCCATCAGAAAGCATTGAAGCTTATGAGGCTTACCAGGGTAAACAAAATTATTATTATTGTTATTGTCATTATTAATACATATTTTGAATGATTCATTATTTAGGAAATACAATCAGGTATCATGAGGCATTGAAATCTTTCAAAAGCATCAATGGTTCATGAAAATCACCAGTACCGGTAGTAATAACTTTTGGTTCAGACATTTCATTTATTTCTAGAATGATTTTCAATATAAGAGCATTTCAAGAGCAAGACTTTTTATGGAACATCTTTATTGCGGAAACATGGTCAATTGAAGAATAAAATGAAAAATCTCACAAATTATTCCTTAATTTTACAATCTTTTAAAGGTCAAGAAAATGCCATTCAATTTTTACAACGTTTCCATTCAGATGGTGATGTACCTTTCATTTATATGGTTATTATTCTGGTAAGAGCAGGTATTATAGAGTGCATCTTTATAGGCTGAAAACTTATTTTCAGAAAATGCAATTAAAACAATGGGGATTTTTGTATTCAAATACATGCATTTTTTTACTCAAAATTTGCGAAGACTGAAACTTAAAACGCACAGCTAAGAATTGTCATGAACAATACGATTGCATTCTAGTCAAATTTTGTTTTCATATTTTGTTTCTTTAATACAATGCGTCATCTTTTTATCATTTATTGTAAGTACTTATCATCCTCAGTTTTATCAAATTTTTAATATTTTATTTCCAGTATTTATATATTTTTGTAAAAGATTTCTCTTTTTCACTTTACAAATTATTTGCGCTCATATTCATTAGTCCTTTTCTCTTCAAATACAAATCTCAAATTGAAAACACATTGCTAACATGGTTACATGTTTAATACCTATTTCAATGAAAAAGGTTCACATACAGAACCAAAAAAAGAGGTCTGGTCTTTTTGTTTTTATCCATGATTAAATAAAGGAACATTCAATTCTTCTTCTTATCAAGTCACTACACAAGTCCCGTCCATTCAATTAAATGTACATGTATAGCACAGGATGCAAATTTATAAATAATTAATGTTGAATAATGTATTGGGTCAATAATGTAATTTACATGGTTTTAGAGAAAGCAGTCTGTTTGTACCTCCCTTCAGGAAACCGTTGTTTGAAATGTACACTGGTATTTTATTGTTTCCCGTATTAATAATACACATTGGATATTGATATAGACATACTGTGAATGTATGGTGGTGTTCTTGTGGTTCGGTTTGTTAATTTCTCACCCTCTTTCACACGCAAATAAAATGGGCATGTATCTTGTATTTTCATTATAGCAATAAAGATAAAATGAGTTCCTATACACAACATCCTGTGTGAAGACAACATAAGAGTATTATGTGTATTTCTTTGTTCTCTCCGTCTTCTCCTCTTCTCTCCGTCTTCTCCTCTTCTCTCCCTCCTCTCTCTCCTTTTCTTTCCTCTCTCCTTCCCTCCTCTCTCCTTTTCTCCCCTCTCCTTTTCTTCCCTCTCTTTTTCTTCCCTCTCTTCTTCTGTACTCTCTCCTTCTTCCCTCTCTCCTTCCCTCCCTTCTTCCCCCTCTCTTCTTTATTTTTTTCTTCCCTCTTCTTGTTCTCTCTCTTCTTCTTCTCTTCATATGCATGGTGAGGATGTACTTGTGGAATGAAATGCCACGGGGGTATGAGATAGTGGGATGACTTTAGGAAAGCAGTATGGAGAGGCAGACCGATGCCAGAGTCACACAGCCAAACTGACTCCACAACAACTGCTAACCGACCGACCGATTCTTTGCAGTTTGGGTTAACATAATTTACTGTTCAGTCTGATGGCGGTCTCATTGATGTGACTTGGGGAAGAGAGAGAGAAGGGGGAAGAGAGAGAGAGAGAAGGGGGAAGAGAGAGAGAGAGAGATAAGGAGAAGGAGGGGGGAGAGAGAGGAAGAAGATAAGGATCATTCATGACGTGAGTAAGACAGCCTTGACATTGATAACGAGTTGCCCATCATCTGATGAATTTATTGTGCAAGTTGCTTAATAGGTAATCTCTAACCACTGTCCCTGGTATTAAAGATGAACCAAAAATGACAGCATTGCTTCCATTCCCATTACCTTCTTCTTCTAACTTGTACAGTTAACACTTCAGTGTTAACTGTACAAGTTAGAAGAAGAATGTCACTATACCCTGTATGAAATAAACTGTTTCCAAAAAGTACTGTAAGGTAACTAATAAAGGAACTAACAAAGAAATCAAACTAGAGTGCCCATGCACATAACGTAATGAATTGATAACTGATTAAGCAAAGTAATAAACAAATAAATCAATAAATACATAGAAAAATAGTTTATGTGGGTGAAAATTTGCAGAGGCATCTCATTGAAGAGTGTGAAAAATCCTAACAAACAACTGAACTGGGTTACTGATTGAGGTAGAATATAGAATTACAGAAGTGTTCTTTCTGATGATTCAATCATCCAGCTACTGGCAAAAAGTAGCCTAAGAAGTCTTAATCCTAAACCTAACACTATTTCTACTACATGATCACATTATCGCAAATAAACAAATAGAAAAATACATGTTTCACAATTAGAATATCATAGTAGCATCCTGTTTAACAGTATGTGGCCTTACTTTGAAAACTATGTTTGCTTTTAAGCTATAGCTGTAGTGAAAAATCTATTACTTTTCATAGAATGCTGTGAGTGCAGCTAGAAGACACTGATTATTGGTATTGATATCACAGTTCTCTCTCAACCCATATCACTACAGTCTCCTAAGTGATGTCTGTGCATTATCTACAGATCCAGAATGCTAGCAATTGCACTTTGTACAAGAGCAAGAAAGACCAAAAATCACAGACAATTTCGAATCTATTTCCAATGATGTATATTGTGCCATTATGAAATAAGAGTGATTTAAGTGTAATAATAAATCAAGTCTCTAAATTGCCAATGCAGTGTAAAATATAAAATCACTATTTTGTGTATAAATTATCAATTTTGAAGGTTTCATTTTGCAATTTACTTTCATATTGGCTCATTGAAAAAAACAAAATTCCCTTATCACTATAAAAGAGTGGAGACTAAGATTAATTGTTGCCAAATTGAGGAGGGAAAACTGATTAATTCAGAAAATAAGAAAACTCTAAACTGTGCGAGTATGCAACCAGCTTTGTGCAGAAATTTATCCTAATTTCAGTAGGTTATGACAATCATTGTACTTTTACGACCATGAAAGATAATAGTTTCGGGTATACGGCCATGAAATAGTAAAAAAGAAGGCACTTTGACAACAATACCTCTGTACAATTGTGACTACAGTACAAAAGATATTCACACACTGAATAGTTTCTGAAGTACTGGTACATTACATAGATACACAAACAGCTCACTACCAACATAATTATACAGGTAGTTAAAGACATGATGAAATCTACAGCTATGTTGTTTTATGCAAAAATTGTATGGTAAGAAAATCAACCTCAGAGTACAAACTATTAGAATATTATAGAAAAATAGGTGAACGAAAATGTATCATCAAATGACATAATTTCAAATGAACATGGAAAAAGCTTCCAATGTGCAATTTTTCTTTTGTATTTTCCTTCTTTCATTTGTTGTTGTTTGTTTGTATGTTTCTTTTTTGTTCTACACTTGAATGATTTAGCAACAAATAAAGACCATATTCCCATAACATTCCAAGGCAAGGCAAAGGAGTTATTGAGGCAAACTATTAAGTATTTTCCCTGACATGTTAAGCCATAGTTCTTGTGACCACATTTGTGAAGTAAGAGAGATAAATCTAATATTAAATAGTTGGCCTATTTCAGCTGTCAATCAATCAATCTTAGAATTGACATTCTTAAAATTGTGTTCATTTTGAAGGTGCCATCATATGACCACAAAGGAACAAGTACTAGAAGCTCACAATATTCATGATTTTAACATATTTCTTGTTCATCTTCCATCCCTTTACAGATGGTATATCAAACAATACCAGCTTTAACCACATAACTATCACTAATTCATATTACTTGACAAAGGCTTATAGCCCTAAATTACTACATTCTATTTTCTCTACACTTGAATAATCCTTTTCTTACTCTATCAGTAAAGTACCTGTATGTATAACAGCTAAGAAGAACACAATGTGTAAGCCTACTTACTCGAACTACATCGTCTTGAAAGAAGCGAATAAAATATTAAATGTCAACAAAGTCACTCAAAATCTACTACATGTCTTAACCATACTTTTACAAATACTGTCAAAACAGAATGAAGGGAATTGCATGGGGAATAGGAACAAAAATAAGTAAAGTTCTGAAGACATTATGTTTTTCCCAAAGAAATAATGTAGACCATGGATCTGTATTTCTATACACAATGAATAAAATACATGGAAGGTTTGCATCATTCCTGGGAAATATCAAACCTGTCAAAGATCTGTTCAAACTTTTGTTCCGGTGCACCCAGGTAGTTGCTATTCATTCCATTATGGAGTATCTGTTTCTACCCGGCAAGGGAAGGTCCCAGGTCTAGTATCTTATGGGATCTCTATTTCGACGACATCAGTGATGTTGCCAATTTGTTTGGAGTCAAAGTCTATGACGAGAGTTCTCTTTCCCTTCTCTCGGGGTGAGAACTTGACCTTCTGTTTGAAGTTGCCCTTTGAAGGAACATCACTGAGAAGAAAATACAACAAAGAGAAATATGTTTAATAGTAATAATAATAATACCTAATACAGACATTTATAACGCGCAACATATCCACCCAGAGGGTGCTCAAGGCGCCTACAATGAGCTACATAATATATATAGATACAATTATACTTAAATTACATTATACATGGTAAAAAAAGATGATATTAGTTAAAGTTGGCCATTAGATAAGTTTTCAGACTGGCCTTGAAATGATCTACTGATTTACAGTCCTTAAGTGTGTTAGGGAGACTGTTCCACAATCGGGGAGCTGCTGAGGCAAATGCCCGATCTCCCCATGATCGTCTGGTCTTAGGGATGATCAGAGTTGATGTATTGGCAGAACGCAGACCAGAACGACCAGGCTTGCGAAAGTTGAGTAGAGAAGAGATGTACATGTACTGTGGCGAGGAGAACTTCAAGGCATGGTATATGATCAGAAGGATTTTGTAGGTGAGCACATAGTAAACCTCAACCTCACACAAGCCAATGTTGCATGTGTTGAGTAACCTCTTGAGTTGATGATATACATAACAAGTCTAAATTTTTCTGTTTAGAAGTGTGTCAATCCGCTGTATTACATGATTTTTTTTTTTAAGTCGAATAATCATCCAAGTCAATCAAATTAACAGAACGGTTCCAAAGAAAAAGCATTGAATTAATATCACAAATTCAAATGAGACAGCAATGTGTAATCGTAAGCTGTCAAAGCACGCACTACACATTGATTTTGTTTATACAATACAAGCCTATGCTATCCTCATTCTTCTCTCTCCCTCTCTCTCATTATCATACCCATGCATCCCAGGTCCCTGTGATGTGCACTGTATACACACCACCAAGCGAGCTCAGATATTGAAAACGGGAAAAAATGAGCAAGGTACATGTAGTACATATGTGAAAGTCAGATTTCTTTGACTTGCGGGGAGGGACCACATGCTCATGTCAAGAACATTCAGGGCAGTGCTAGACTAGAGGTCTTGAATTGTGAGATGTCCAGACCGAATTAGCAAATAAACATTGCTGTCATCCCAGCAGTTCAAAATGCTGGCAAGTGGGTGTATGATATTGAGTGGCTCAATATTTGGACTTGTGAAAGACATGACATGGTGCACAGAATGTTATAAGAATAAAAACTGAAGGAAATGCTTGGGGTCAGTGTGGGAGGGGGTTCTTTCTTCATCGTCAGAAATATATTGACATTTCTTTAGTTTGTTTGGCGAATGTACTTACTTGGCGTAGAGTGTCATAGAGCGAAGGAGACGAGCACCCTCGAAGGTGATTGTACAGTTAGTGAGCGTGATAGGCAAGGGATTCACAAACTCAACCACAGCTTCGACCTCGTGACCTACGACCTTGAACTCAGTCTTCATCTCCGGTGGGGTGAGGTACACAGTGTCCTGACTCACGGTTTGTTGGGAGGTTTCCTGAAAGTAAACAAACATAATATAACATATACATACACATAACCAATCAAACAAGTACAAAAGGAGTCATGGATTTCAAATATTTCTAAGGTAGCTTGGCAGAATATGGTGGCATGAAAACACAGGTCTCGTACACAAATGAATAATTGTTGAAAATAATAATGTTATGGCATTGTAATAGACCCATATTTTTAGAACACGGGTCTTACTAGTTAATATCTCTTTCACCTTGATTAGACTTCATAGTTACCCAAAAATGTAATTTTGATATGTCAAATGACAACTTTTTATTTATTGTTGGGCCTCTAAGCATACCAGACGTGTCTTTTTATGCTACCTTAATGTTGTTCATCCTTGTGAAAAATGGTTTAGTGGTAAAGTCCTCAGATTGTGGATCAAGGTATTCAGGATTTGAATCCCTGCAACATGACTATTTCCTTTGGTAAGCCACACTCTAGGTGGGGTAAGCTTGCTTCCTGTCATCGGGTCATCGTGTCCTGTTGAGGGGGGGGGGGGAGTCATGTTACACGTCCTTTCGCAAAACGAAAGTAGAAGGTCATGTGAAGAAGCACATTACGAATGCAACCTTTTGTAGTTTTGCCGTAGGGTTTCTACAAAGCATTACAAAAACTCGTAGTTTAAAATTGAAACCCCCATTGATGAGAGAGAGAGAGAGAGAGAGATAAGCATGGTAGAGGGGGAAATGAAGGGAGAAGGGAGAAAGAGACACATGTATGCGCTAGCTAGTTTAACAAGTTCACTGCCAGAGTTCAAATTGTTGTTATATCGCCAATTATGGGTCATTTTGCTTCGTTCGAACTTTAATAAGAATACATTATATTTATATAGCGCTTATTACAATGTTTCTAAGCGCTTTACAAAGTTGTACTTAGATAATAATACATTCAATAACTATAATTAATATATACTAATCAACCTACAATTAATTCGAAATACATACATAAGCACAGATACATCTAGTCAATACATATAGATACAATAGAATACAAATTAATTTTAGAGCGAAACATCACAAATTCATATTAAGGCAATTACATTACGTCTACCGTGCAAAACACATTCAAGCTACAGACTAACAGGGAGGATTAACAGGGAGAATTAAAAAGGAATGTCTTAAGGGAGGATTTAAAAGAATCTAACGAAGGAGATTCCCGAATCTCTAGAGGAAGTCTGTTCCAGAGCCTCGGGGCAGCTACGCTGAAGGCACGGTCTCCATATCGTGTTCGAGTTCTTGGACCCGGGGCCAGTTGCAGATGAGCATAGGTGGATGAGCGAAGTCTTATAGAGGTTGTCTGGGTCTTTGGTAAGATTAGTTCTGTGATGTAAATTGGAGCAAGTTCATGTTGGGCTTTGTAAGTTAGGATCAGGATTTTGAAGGTAATGCGTTGAGAGACGTGAAGCCAGTGAAGAGAGCGGAGGACAGGGGTAATGTTATCGTATTTTCTGGAACGGGTTATTAAACGAGCTGCAGCATTCTGAATTCGTTGAAGAGGTAGAACATGAGAGTCTGGTAAGCCGTAAAATAAACTGTTGCAGTAGTCAAGGTGTGATGACACGAATGCGTGGACTAATCGTTCAGTTGCGCTGGCCGTCAGGTACTTTCTTATTTTACCTACCTTGGAGATTCCAAAAGCTGCTGCTCGAGACTTCGAACGCATGTGGTCAGCCATGGTGAGATTCTTATCAAGAATAATACCGAGATCACGAGAGGCCTCAACACATGCGATAGACGTTCCATCGCCAATCTGCAGAACAGGGAGAATCCGAGCACCTCTGAACCTGGAGAAGACATGGATGACCTCAGTCTTAGAGTCATTAAGTTGAAGATTGTTCTGTAGTGACCATTCCTTAACATCTGCTATACACTGCTGTAGCTTTTGAAGTCCGACGTCATGTTCCTCGGGTCTGATGACGGCATACAACTGAGTGTCATCTGCGTACATGGTATGTAGGATTCCTTGATGGGCATTGATGACTTGCGATAGAGGGCCAGTGTACAGTACAAACGCCAAAGGACCAATGACCGATCCCTGAGGAATACCCTGGGAGAGATGAAAAGACTTGGAAACAGCATCGTTAACTACAATCTTCTGTCTCCGATTTTTTAGATAGGAGACCAGCCACTGTCGAGCTACATCCCTGATGCCGTAGTCACGTTCAAGGATTTCAATCAAATTCACATGGTCAATGGTATCGAAAGCAGCACTGTAGTCCAGTAGAACCAGTATTGCTTCATAACCCCTGTCGACAGCCAGTAACAGATCGTTCATCACTTTCAACAGTGCTGTTTCAGTAGAGTAGGACGAGCGATAGGCCGACTGCATCTTGGGAAACAAGCAATTCTTCTCTAGATATGCTTTCAACTGGAAGCTAGCAACTCTTTCAAGAACTTTCGCAAGGAACATCAGGTTAGAAACAGGTCTATAGTTCCTGAGGTCATTGTGATCCAAACTACGCTTCTTCAGCAAGGGCACAACACGGGCTACCTTGAAGCTGTCAGGAACACTCCCAGAAGACAACGAGCCGTTTATGATGGAAGTGATAACTGGCAACAGTTCATCCATACAACACTTGACCAGCCATGTTGGAAGAGGATCCAGCTTGCAATGTTTAGAAGCCATGGCATTGATCACTTTTCTAACTTGAATTTCAGACACTGGTTCGAAAGAAGAAAATTCACTAACCCACGAAGGAATTTCCCCTATGTGACGAGAGGACAAGTTGAACCCTGACATGATTTGTTGGATTTTCTTCTGAAAGAACTCGCCAAAGTCATTTGCCAGGGTCTCATCTGAGTCACGATCCGGAAGCACAGGAACCAGATCTGGGCAAGACAACTTTTGGACGAACTTGAAAAGTTGTTTCGTGTCACACTCTTCCACCTCCGCCACCATGAACTGGGATTTGGACTCCACAAGCTTGTCATTGTAGGACTTGCAGAGTTGTTGATATATCTGCTTGTGAATCTCTAGGCCTGATTTCGTCATCGTCCGCTCTGCACGGCGTTTAACTCGTCTACATGGATGTTAAAGTCACCAACAAGCATTGGGATGTTATCAACAACTGCGACAGATTCCATCAAAGAGGAAAATTCGTTCAAGAACAAAGAAAAACTTAGTTTGTTCTTCGATGATGGAGGTGGTCTATAGATAGCATAAATGTGAAACACTGATGCACCGTTAGACTGAATAGTAAAGTCCATCATCTCGAATGATTCATAGTTTATACTAAAGTCTGGAAGACTCACTTTGACCGCGGAACGATGGATAATGCAGATGCCTCCGCCAGAACTGGTCGTACGAGGTTTGTGCACTATCTCATAATTACGTAGCGTTGCCGTAATGTCGGCAAGGGTATGGTTGTCGCGATGGTCGCCCCTAAGCCAGGACTCGGTGACGATGAGTACGTCAAGGTCGTTGCCAATGATAAGGTCACAAATGATGGTGGTCTTATTGTTCATAGATCTGGAATTCCAATGACCTATTCGAACTCTTCTCTCAGGAGGACATTCAGTGACAGAAGGAGGAGTTCCAGTAAGGTGTATGAGTCCACCAGTATCCCGCGTCGATATTCCACGAGAAACATTAGTATATCTAGTCTGAATGAGTACAGGAATGTTGAACTTACGCCTCATTACCCCTCCTCGGTAGCCACGCTTAGTTCTCCGAGCGATTCCAAACTCTTTGAAAAAATTCCATTCATGTGCACTAAGAAGCTTAGCCTGAATTTCATTGTCAAAGCTTCGCCCTAGACACAAGAGCTCCTCACGGGAGTAAGTGCAGCGAACCATGTTAAGAGACAGCGTAGACGGATGGACTACCACATCAAGTGCTATGCATAGGCACGTACAAACAGCAAACAATATGTTCACAATTTGATGTGAAAATATCCAAAGGTGAAAATGCATGATTGCAAACACGAATGATCTCAAAAAGTACGTCAGAATTGTCACTCAACATCAAGAACAAATGTCACTAAGATCAACTAGTCAAATATACTCACAAAGTATGCAAAATTAACAAATTTCAGATGAAAATCTGAAGAGAGCAAAAAAAAAGAACTTTTATTTTGGTCTTCATCTAACTTATCAGTGACTTTTGGACATGAAAATATCTTAAAACAAGTAAAATACTTATTTCCTACTTCTCATTTCCTTTCAGGCAGAGCCCCAGTAAGAGTTTGTTTACACTAGTATTACGTAAGATGATGAAGAGTCCAGCTGCAATCCAATATCTTAATCTCTCATTCAAAGCCTCAAGGCTCTGTCCAAGTTTTTAACGAGAGACACGAAAATGGGTAGTGGCACCCCATCAAAATTACATTGACTTCTGTGTTAACGTAGAAGCTCTCTCAAAGTCTGAACAAGAGAAACGAAAATGGGGTCCTGGCACCGCATCAGATTACATAGACTCCTGTGTTAAAGTGTGGGGTATAGTTTTAATGAGAGCTTTTCGTAATGGTGTCAGGTAATTCGAGGTGCCAGGTAAAATGTCAGAGGAAAAATGTCAGAGGTAAAATGTCAGAGGTAAAAATGTCAGAGGTAAAAATGTCAGAGTTAAAAGTGTCAGGGTAAAAATGTCAGAGGAAAAATGTCAGAGGTGAAAATGTCAGAGGTAAAAATGTCAGAGTAAAAATGTCAGAGGTAAAAATGTCAGAGGTAAAAATGTCAGAGGTAAAAATGTCAGAGGAAAAAATGCAGAGGAAAAAATGTCAGAGGTAAAAATGTCAGAGGTAAAAATGTCAGAGGTAAAAATGTCAGAGGTAAAATTTCATTAATTTCAGCGCTGCTTTATTTTCTTCTTTCTGTAACTTTTATTTACCTTACTGCCCGGAATTGGGACCTTTTGCCCGAATATTGCCGAGCGGAGACGGGGGGAGGGGGTGCATCCTTCGTAATGACCCGGCTGCCTCCCCCTCATATGCCTTTGTCTAAGCAAATGATACTGGTACACTGAGCAAACTTCTGGGAAAAAGAATGTCTAAAATCGAGTAGTTTGGCCATGAACAATTATAGGCCGAGTTGTGGCTCGATGGTGTAATCACTAAATAAAAAGAAAAGTCATCACAGCAGCCCCCCCCCCAAAAAAAAAAGAAAGAAGAAGATAACATATCATGCCGTGAGTCCTCCGCCCCCCCCCCCCCCCGCCCCCACTTCACACGTCCCTTCTGAAGATTGATGGACATTTTAAATGTGGCAATGACTACTCTAAAATGTAATTTCCTACAAATGAATATTTCCAACAATTTCACTTTTTTGTGTGCTTGATACTTTGATACCTTGATACAAAGCAGAAAGCCGCCCATGTATCATATGCTAACCGCACCATCACATTCAGAGAAGCGCGCGCTTTGCAAAGAGTTGATCGTCGATCACTATTGCGGTATAAATAGTCTGGGAGAACATCAATAAGCAGCTTGATACTCTGATACAAAGCAGAAAGCCGCCAATGTTACATCAAATGCTAACCGCATTTTTACACCGAGCCAAATTCGACAAGACCATTTGTAGATTTCACAAACATTACCCCCGACATTTTGTGAATAAAGGGGCATGTTTTCACGAAAGGTCAGGTACAGCGACCACCCAACCCGATGACCAGATGACTTGAAATGTCATTGCAGTCTCTTAATAACATAGTACTTGTTCAAATTTTACTTTTTCTTTGAGTGCACATCTACTCTTCGAAATACCAAGATACCAAGACCTAACTTATGATAATCATCCAGTAATACCAGAAATATTTCTTGAGTCATTTTAAAATCGAATCTGTATGGTCGCTGACATAGGGCTCCCTATAATACAGGGCTGCGTCTCAGGAAACCGTCATGAGTACAAGTTGAGCGACATCCTATTGAAATGCGTGTATTGAGTTTAACACGTATTTCAATGGAATGTTGCTCAATTTGTAGTATTTTTAGTGACGGTTTCGTGAGACCCAGCCCAGGTTGCTATATTCCTATAAAATTCTTTTTTTCTTACCTTGACTTTGCCGTAGACGTAGAACTTGATGCAGGCCTGATCGACCAGACAGCTTGAGTAGATCTCAGCCCTAATCATCTCAATAACATGTTCAGACTTGCCAGCAGGGACTGTTAATTCCTTACGTAGGCTTGTGATCTTCTTAGCCAACACACCTTCACAGAAAATAAAGAAAAAATGTATAAGATATGTAAAGGTCAGTAAAAATTTTGTGTACATTTTCTTGACTGGATTCTTTTCAATTTTATTCATATGAATTTCAATTTCAATTTCGATTTTATTGTCCAATTGACATATACTTGGCTCACATATATGTACCTTCACACACAAAAGAGTAGAAATGCAAACAAATCAGTGAATTTTGTGCATTTTGGCAAAATTTGATGTTTGTTTAAATTCTTAAACAGACCCACATGGGTCTAGGAAATACAGATGAATGGTACAAAGATATTTTCCAACAACAAAAATATCTTGGAAAAGAAAGACTGTTTGGCATACACAATAACTTGAAGGCAAGATATTAAAAATAACTTATGTAAATCTAATACTTTGAAAAAAAAACTAATTCTATCCAACTTTAAAATCATGATTTTACAATATTTAGAAAGGTTCTTTACTGATTATCAGAATTTATATTGCATAAGTGAAGAAATTCTATGTTAGGTATCTTCACTATGAACATGACCAACAAAAAAAGCGGACAAAATATACAGTTGCTCAGGTAGACAACGGAACATCCCTTCACTGCTATTATGTACAGGTGTCAGTACAGGTGTCACATGCATATTCACCTGTTCTACACATTTTTACATAATAGCAGTGAAGGGATGTTCCTTTGTCTACCTGAGGAACTGTATATTTTGTCCGCTTTCTTTGTCTGTCATATTCATAGTGCTTGTAGTAATATTTCTTTTTGCAGCATTTCTTTTTGCAGAAAAATTATCATTCTGTGCTATATAATCAAAACCAATTTCTTTAAATTTTGTGTGATTCAATATTAAAACAAATCATGATGTATAACCATGAAGCAACTTTACTGTGTCATAGCAATGTACCAACAACTATATTATCTTCTATATCCGTAGCTCCTCTCCTGTGCTTAACAATTATGTCAGGTAGACGGAAAGTGGTCGTCCTGCCATTTTCCTTGTTCTCTTTTATATTTATTTATTTGTAAGGTTTATGTGTTTGTTTGCTTATAAGTCTAGGCCTAAACGCAATTTACAATATATCTTATTTTCACTTTTACCACATTTGAAGATATCTCAATACCGAAGGTCACGACTGATACCTAAATACAACTGTTTCATATTGATATGGATGATTTCATAGATATAACAATTTGATCCCTTGAGTGTGACAGGATTGGGAAACGATTTCAAGAGAAGATGTGTTTGTAATTGGATCAGGCATCTCAACTTCAATCTAATACTTTTACAAGAAACCCACTCGACAATAAAGTCAGAGCGGAGATGGAAACATGAATGGGGATACAAAATTATTTTTAATCACGGAACATCAGAAAGTGCTGGAGTATGCATTCTTTTCAAACCATCTGCTTCTTTTGATATTGTGAATACTTTTAAGGAGGACAAGGGGCAAATTTTATTAGTAATTTAAAAATTAAATAATATGGTGTTAACAGTGGGAAATATATATGGTCCAAACAATGACGATAGACTTTTCTTTGATGATTTTCACTCTTTGTTATTCAAACATGGTGAGGGTTCCTATGTGACAGCTGGAGATTTTAATACAGTTTTGGAGCCAAGAAATTATAAATTTCCTAAAACATTTCAAAACCATCCAAGATGTAGTAAATATGGAAATAATAGATGATTTTGACCTGCTTGATATGTGGCGTCATACCGCACCTATCGGAAATGAAATAGACATGTTTGTATGTTGCAGTGCCAATGAACTGATTAGATTTTAGGGCCATAAGGTCAAAGATCAAAGGGTCATACATGTACGAAAAATAGCTTGTAATCGCGATATTCTGAGAGCCTGTTAATGGATTACAATCAAACTTGAAATCAAAAAATTGCTTCTGTTTTGGTTTTATAAAATTGTTCTATGGCGGAGGCATCCTTTTCAATTGCGGGCAGTCGAAGGTCCACTCATAGTTATGTTATTGTTTTCGTTATCTCAAAATTATTTTATTGAGTTTGTCTTTTTGTACTAATGTATATATGTTATTATGTGCATCTATATATAGTCAAACCTGCTTTAGTGACCACCTTTCCACAAAGACCACATTTTTTGTTTCCCTTGAAAAAGGTTTCTCATTGTACTAAAGGAAACCTGTACATTAAGACCACCTGCCTATAAAGAACCCTGCATGTACTGACCTGTGTAGTAGCACATATGAGCATTCATAGTCAGGGAGATGACACGAGACACAGAGCTCTTGTTATTGACTGCTACCTTGAGCTCAAAATCACTGCCGACAGAGATCTTCTCATCCAAGACAATCGCCATCTCAATGTCGTCTGTCTTCACATCCTCCCGATAGGTGTTGGGTCTGGTGCCATAAGAAATGGCACGTTCAACCGCGTTGCGCTCCTCAACAGATCCTAGTATGAATAAATAGATTCATAGGTACACGTTATGAATGGATGCTAATGTCAGTTTGTTAGTACGCCCTCAATTGGAGTATGCCTCTGAGGCTTGGAACCCACACAGCGTCACGGTCACAAAAATGCTAGAGCAAGTACAAAGAGCGGCTCGCTTTGTGTACCGTGACTACAGATACACACATCACCATCAGCTCTTGTGGCAGCTCTAGGGTGGGACACACTTCATACACGACGAATCCTCGACCAATGCACCCTTCTCTACAAGATCCATCACCGTCTTGTCTCCATACCTGCACCAACTATTGTTATCCCTGCTACATACTTCGGAAGACACGACCACAACCTGAAGTATGCAATTCCTGTTGCAACTATTGACTCCTTCAAGTTCTCATACTACCCAAGAGCAATAAGGATCTGGAATCATCTGCCAGGCTCAGCAGTTAATGCAACAGGAATGACCAACTTCAAGGAGGCAGCTCTACCCTCCATCAGAATGATGCAGCCCCCTGTTGGTTTCCACATCATTTAAGCTGATTAGCTTGGTTTTTACTTGCACTGGACTTAGCATATTTTACTGTAAATTAATGAGTGCTTTGTCCACACACCATTTCTGCAATTCATGACACTCCTTGCAGTTACTCGCCTCACCTACCATCCCAGTATAGCTTCCTGAGTGAGCTGCCAAAGGGATTACCCAACCAAGTACCAAGTTAAGTACTACTAAGTAGGAAAGTCAACCTGATATAAATTGGCTGTACTTGCTATAAAAGACAATATAGTAAAATACCTCGCCATATCTGTTATGTTCCATTTACACCTCCAGTTTAGCATTAATCTGTGGTTAAGATGTTGTGGTCTAGTGGATACGTTACTGGACTGTGGCTCACATGGTTCACAGTTCAAGTCATGCCATAGCCATATCCTTTGGCAAGACATTAGTCTACATTTGCCACTATCCACCCAGGTGAACAAAATGGTTACCTGATAGGAAGAAATTATTTGAATGCTTAAGCGCCTTATCATGGTAGCTCAGCTACAGCTGGGGAAATAATAATTTGTAGTATGTGCAGTAGTGTATATTTGCATATTAGCTGCGCTATATTAAAGATAAAGACCAGTTATGGTCATGCGATTGCATTGTGAAAGAAACGTTGTGGAATCGATCAGAAAAGGTTGATCATCTAGCATATAAGTATTGATGTGTACTGCAAGGTTCTGGAATCATCAAAATGATAGGAAATTTGGCCCAGTCTTGGTAAATTTACAAGTACTGTACACAGAAAGATATATATGGGATTACGCGACACATGCGCGACCAAGTGCGATATCTATCAGGTCCAAATAGATATAATAATTTACCAAAGATATCAATTAGTAGCCTCTTTGCAAATTTTGTATCGTCACGTATTAGTCAAACATATTCTTTCACATGATTGGTAATCAGAGCTCCCATTTCATTTTTTGAGGGGGGGAGGGGGGGGGGCGTTTCCAAAACTGGTCTTTACCTTTAATGGACGTATTATTATTCCTTTCCCTATTCCTCCTCCTCCTCCTCCTCCTCCTCTTCTTTTTCTTGTTAACATTATTATTATATATTCATTATTATCATTATTATTATTATCATCATTGATTTATCTATTTATTTTGTTCCTTATTACCTTCTGCATATTTGTACTCCAGAGTGATGTCATTCCTGGCATTCCATCGGCTGATGTATCCTCCTGGAACGAGCGGAAGTTTCTTCGTACTGATGTATTTACCGACGGCATTAGTGTTGATGCTCACTGTTTTCATGTCCGGTGGGCCACGATCTTTCTTAGTTGCAACCCAGTTGATACGATCAGCATTGACCTCCGCGAAGGCGAACCTGTCAAAAGACAGTAGATATGTATGTTTGTGATCAAGAGTGAGCTTTACTTACCTATCTATTTCAGACTTCTCATTTTATTGCCGATTAGAGTAGCTGAAAAAGTTTGATGAACCTTCCTTGCCCTGGAGATGGCTGGGAAACCCCTCACTCAATCTCTACCCTCTATTTCAGCATGCAGGCTGTATCCAAAGAGTATCCAGTATGGCAGTCCTTAATTGACTACATGTAATGTCCAGGCTTGTGCCTCTTCTTACTTTTTGAGTGGCTCAGTTTTGGAGGTGTTAAATGGAGCACATTTCTCCATGTAAGGCATTACTGTCTGTGTAGAGCCAGAAGGGTATTAACTCTATCTAAAAGCTCCAAACAGACAATTTTAAACCATGATATTTTTTATCAAATTATGCAAATTAAATTGAATCTTTGAAATTAATAATAAAAACCTAAACTAAAAATACCATATCTAGTGACTATTTAAGGATTTTTTAGTGCTGGGTATTAAACACATACTGACATTTTAAGACCAAAACTATAGATAATATAAAGAGAGAGACTTACTTGGTGTCGTAGTTGATGTAGGTCAGGCCTTGCTTGATAGCTGTGACAGGAGCAGGGCCGCACTGGAAAACACCTGGATGGATGGAGTGAGAAGGGTCCAAGCACTTAATGTGTGCATGTATCTTGTGGAAAAGTCACTTTACAAATTATATTATAATTCATCTTTATCATTATTAACCTATAGACCATTGGGTTCTTTAATTCTCATAGGGTTTATGTAGGGACCCCCAGGTTTCAGTACGCAATGGGCTTATGGCTGGTCACACCACATCGAGACTGATAACGAGAACAAACAGCTATATGCATACACAATAGCATTAACAAGAACTTTAAAGTGGTCACACTTCAACAATTAATGTAAAATGTACCAATCACCAAAATATATTTTTTTTTTTATGTTAACAGTTCCATGTCGTAATATATATTCAAAATCATGAGCTCCAAATATTACCTCTGTAGAGATATTTTGTAACCTATACACTCCCGAGTATTAAAGATAAAAGTGACCTGTGAGTTGACTACCGTACTCAATTTACCTGTACGTGTTTGCTCAAACTAGGGTCTGACTTTTGTTCTGTGTGCGCCATTTTAAGTTATTTTTCAACTCCTAATCTGATAGCAAGTAGAAGGCCGAGTGCAGTTTTCTGCTGTTTATTTTATATATTAAAGCTGTACATAAATCATTTTTGTTAAGGTTCTATCAATCAAGTACAAAGGTCACTGCCCATACGATTTCTTCCAAACTGACATCAAAGGAGTAAAATAACAATAATATCTATATTGAGCTCACAGAAAATATTGCTGAAGATTTCTCCTTAGAAAATCATTGGCTGAGCAATTACATGTCAATAAAATCGTTGAGGGAGGACCATTTGTAGCATTGTTGAGTGGTAGATTGGATTACATGCTATGCCTGCTTTGAATGTTTTTAAACAGAAGTGCGGCATCGCATAAATGCTGTAAATCACCATCACCATAATCAATTATTCACAACTACAAGTAGGGAACAATCGTACATAGAATTGTACAGAATCTAAATAGAACGAGGTAATGGACTTGAAGGGGGTTGGGGCAGGGCCCTACATCCACTCAGGGGGACACTATGGATTGAAAGAAAAGCCTTACCTTTGTTGATTCTTGTAAAGTTAAGCCAATGAAATGCCTTACACTTAAATATAATCATCAATCAACAACTTAATAACACCTCCAAAAGATTGTACAGGATTCAAATAGGACAGGTTGCTTAACATATCAGGGACTAGGTGGCAGGGTCCTACATCACTCAGCGGGGAAATCATCAGTTGAAATAACAATTCTTACCTTCGCTACTTTCCTGTGGAGTAGCATCAACGACCTGCCAGCCACCCATCCCAGGGATGGTGTCAGAACGGCTATAATAAACCTCATTCCAAACATGAAAGTTCCACACAGAATCGTTGCTCAAATACTCGATCTGTATACAAGGACAGAGACAAGGGCAGAGATAAATGTCAGTGGCAAAGCAAAAAGTAGACAAAACTATATCAATGCCATCATTAAACAATGACAAAATAACCTCATATCTGTGTCACTATCAGTTACAATGACGACGATATAACCATGTCAATATTAATTACAGTGACAAGGAAAACTACATAAACAGTCAGAGCGCAGCCGGTGCGAAACCCTCTATTTTATTCAGCACGTATGCAAGAATTTACGTGTCTCGCATACGTAATGAGTAGTGCAGACGGTCTTCCCGATCGGCAGTTTTTGCCTTTATAATTGTTCATTTCTCATGAAATGGGTCTTATTTTAAAGATAAGAAGTTGCACTCTCTATATATTTATATGACAATCATGTTAGATATATTTTGGAAACAGATATTTCGCCTTGAAATGGGGTTTTTCGACGATAAATCTATCTAAAGAGTAGGGCTAATTTTCACATAGAAATCATTCTTGCGTCAAGAAGATGTTATAATCAGCATAAAGCATAAATATTTTTCGTTACAATGATATCAAATTATTATATTTTACGCTGTCCCAAAGTCAGGAACCAAAAAGATCACGCTCATGTTCATGAATAATTAAAAAAAGTAGTAAATTTTGCCGATGTGATAATAGAGAGTTCTGATTGGTCAACTACGTCAACTACGTCACATATGTTTCGCTTTGGTTTATTAACATTCTGAATAACACATCTTGGTAACCATGCGTTGTGGCGTGCGCCTGTAATGCACGTGCGCGTAAGCCGTCTTGACAACAATCTAAGGACCCGAGATCAAATACCTCACATGCCATGTAGATGTTTCTTATCTACTGTATTTCTTTTTTAATCATTTTTCTAAAAATTTTTCGGCTAGTCGATGGCGCGGCGGAGCTCCCTGGAGTTTAATAATCAGTTATGCATTGCCATTGCTCAGACGGCGAGTGTGCACGAGTATGAAATCACACAATTTCGCGCTATCATAAAAAGAACAAATTGGTAATTTCCGGGTTTTTAGGGTCTTAATTACTATGATTATAAAAAGAACATGATTTTGCGTCAATTAGGTTTTGACATATTTTTGATCAGTGACTTTTCATCTTTCGAACGAATCTCAAAGTGGACAAATTTATTTTGTCCCAAAGTCAGGAACCAAAGTGAAATTCCCGGGTCAAAACAGCAGTTGAAATGTTACAAAAATAGCGTCAATAAAAGTTGTGAAAATTATTGTTTACAAATTGCGAAATATGGCAAATTACATATCAAACTGATGCTGAAAATCTCGAGAGTGACTTTCCGTTGCATGCTGCCATGTTGAATGAAGTTAACGACCAAAAACGCAGCTACATGTACACCCCTACAAATCTCACTGAAAAGCGCATGGAAATTCAGCAGACGTAAATGTTATGTGATCGCCAGATATCGCTGATAAAAATCAGCTTTCAGCCTCATTAACGCGCGCGCTGCGGTCTGACTGTAAACTTTTTCAATTGCAATGACAAAAAGAAAGGAAGCACATGTACTTAATGTCAATTATAGAATTAATAACATGGGTTAGACCATTGGTGACAATGTTCTAGTTCTATTTGACGTAAATTTGTTTGGTTAACAGATTACAATAACATGGGACTTTCCCTATTTACTCTCCTTCTCTATTTTTATCCTCACATATTTTGAAACAGGACCATAACAACTGCGTCTTCCACAAAAATTGATTTAGTTTTAAAAATGTAGATAGATTTGCTTTTGTTCGAATAAGCATAGGACATTGTTCAAAATTCTAGAAGCAATTACATAAAAAGTATTTTTGGTAGCGGAGAGATTAGATTCCCAAATTACAAGTCTAATAGTGTCCTTTGCAGAATTCAGATTATGTGTGGGTAAGTATTAAAGCCCCACTGTACTACTTGTAGCTAAGCTTGCTCCCTCTACATAGAAAACTTCCCCAATCGGTGCCTGCTGGTCCCCCATGATCATCTTTTTCTCATGTTGAGAGCCGAGTTGACAAGATAGCCACCTGTCAGTCACCTCGCTGGGTGGTCTAATCTCTTCTGGCCGAACTAGTACACATGGTCTTTAAATATGAAAAGGTTGGGGTACATACCTCTTCATTTGTCTCTGAACGATGACAGTATCAATGGTCATGCTGACATCTGTGTCATGAGCAGAGGCAAAGTTAGTAACGCTTCGACAGGGAATGCCAAGACAGCGCATGGCAGTGCACAGGACACCACTGAATACCCAGCATTGACCGTACTTGACAGGTTTGCCACCGGACTCAGCAAACGTCTCGTAGATCTTTGTACTGCCTGTCCACTTGGATGGGCTTTCACCTGTAAGGTTTAAGATTAGTTATCAACTTTGATTTTCAATTTTTGTCTTATTTTCTTGACATCAAGAAAGGAAAGGGATCTTCTTTGAACGAAGTTTGTTACGGTGCATTTCTGGTGAATCATTTCTATGGTTTTGATTGCTTTATACATGTACACGTAGTACATGTAACATTTGTATACTGAGAAGGATTCCTTTGTTATTGAATTAAAATTAGATAGTACGTCCCTAATTTGAGTAATTCTTTATCTATTAAACAGATATTTTGAAGTTACAAGCATTTTAATCAACCCTCTGATTTGCGCATAAGTGTGCATTAATTATCTTTAGCAGAATGGCACAACAGTCTTACACCCTTCAGCCAGCTACACAATATGCTAAGGATAACCTATTGTCATCCCAATGGCCCCAAGCTATGTGACATAAACTCTAGATGGACAGATTTATTGAAAAAGTGCCAGGCAAGAAGGGTATGAACCTCCTTACGGCTTAATCTCTCATTCCCACTGCCTTTAATCACTCACTTTGCCTGAAAATGGGGAAATTATGTCTAATTCTTTTCTGCTTATGTACAATCAATGTGTAATTCCTAGAATTCTGAATCACGAGTAAATTCAAAGACGTCTCAAGAAGGATACTGCTCTATAATTGCCTTTAATTACACAGTGATCACTCAGTTTGCCTAAAAAATGGGTAAAACTCCTTTTCTGCTCATGTAATTCCTAGCTTTGTGGATCACAAGAAAGTCCAAAGACATCTATCCAAAGAGTCTCCTAGGAAACTCTGAACTGCTCTCTAAGGTGAAATGTGATTGACAGCATACCTCCTTCATAGTCTCCGCTCCAGTTCCCAACCAGTAATCCCACCTTGGTCTCTGGTACACCATACTCAGGCATGTAGTTGATGAGATGAGTGAACTTTCTTGAAACCACTACTGGGTCACTTCTTGCGTTCACACGAACCCATCTGAAATAAGAAAATACAAGTGAAACCTGTATATAAAGACCGCTCATGGTAAACAAGAACGTGACCTTTATCTTAAGCAATTGGTCCATCACTACATTATAGACGATGTATTTCACGTCCTCCTCAGGCATTAAGGTTTCTCAAAATTTTACAAAACCACAATAAAACAACCTACTGATCTACAAGTATACCAGCAAATCTACCCAACCTTCTTCTCTAGGAGGTCCAGCACCATATTGGTGGCAGTGTATTACGGGCACTCCACAGGAACACAGGTTTTCCCACAATTTTACAAAACCGTGATAAAAACAACCATAAAGTCTACCATACTTACTTTTCCAGGAGGTCAAACACCACCTCGGTGGCAGAATCTTCAAACTGACCAAAGACCCACGGCCGAGGGTGTTGAGATCCAGGCCTAGCAGATCCAATGAAGACGTAACCATTATCGTTGAGCACGTACTCGCCCTTCTCAATATCTCCAGCCATATGGACGCTGTCTTCGCGGCACCAGGCATTGAAAAGCACATAGATAGGATCATCCTGTCTGAAGTACCTTGGTTCTGCCATTTAAAAAAAAATTACATGTACAATTTTTCTTGACATAAAAACCAATAGACCATGGCCGAGTAGTGAATATCTCCCTATTTCTTCATTTTCGTGACCCACCTCTGGTAACTACCCAATTTTTTTTCTGAGTGGAGATAAAAACTCATAGAATAAGATTCATAACTCGGCAAAGCATAAAAGATGCACACTAATTAGTATTTGAAAACCAGGAAGAAACGTATGGGGAGAAGGTAAATGACAACTGCAAATTTGTGATCAATATATGTTTTGATATAAAAGCAATAATAATAATAATGATGATAATAATAATGATGATCATAATAATGATAATAAACATCAATATCATAATAATAAGAACGATAATAAATAATAATATATTAATAATAATCATCATCATCATCAAGCTTCATTATATCAGCATCATTGTCAGCAATCAGCATCATCATCATTGATATCCTCATCATTATCATCATCATCAGCATCATTATCAGCAATCAGCATCATCATCATCATTATCATCATCATTATCATCATTATCATTATCTTCATTATCAGCATCATTATCAGTATCATTATCAGCATCATTATCAGCATCATCATCATCATCATTATCATCATCATCATTATTATCATTATCATCATTATCAGCATCATTATCAGCAACATTATCAGCATCATTATCATCATCATTATCAGCATCATTATCAGCATCATTATAATCATCATTATCAGCATCATTATCAGCATCATTATAATCATCATTATCAGCATCATTATCAGCAATCAGCATCATCATCATTATCAGCATCATTATCAGCATCATTATCATCATCATTATCAGCATCATTATCAGCATCATTATCAGCATCATTATCATCATTATCAGCATCATTATCATCATCATTATCAGCATCATTATCATCACCATTATCATCATCATTATCAGCATCATTATCAGCATCAGCATCATTATTAGCATCATTATCAGCATCATTATCATCATCATTATCATCATCATCATTATCATCAGCATCATTATCAGCATCATTATCATCATCATTATCAGCATCATTATTATCATCATCATTATCAGCATCATTATCAGCATCAGCATCATTATCAGCATCATTATCATCATCATTATCATCATCATCATTATCATCAGCATCATTATCAGCATCATTATCATCATCATTATCATCATCATCATTATCATCAGCATCATTATCAGCATCATTATCAGCATCATTATCAGCATCATTATCATTATTAGCATCATTATAATCATCATTATCAGCATTATTATCAGCAATCAGCATCATTATCATCATCATTATCATCATCATTATCTTCATTATCAGCATCATTATCAGTATCATCATCATTATCAGCATCATTATCAGCATCATTATCAGCATCATTATCAGCATCATTATCATCAATATCATTATCATCATTATTATCATTATCATCATCATTATCAGCATCATTATCAGCAATCAGCATCATCAGCAACATTATCAGCATCATTATCATCATCATTATCAGCATCATTATCATCATCATTATCATCATCATTATCAGCAATCAGCATCGTCATCATCATTATCAGCATCATTATCAGCATCGTTATCATCATTATCAGCATCATTATCAGTATCATTATCAGCATCATTATCAGCATCATTATCAGTCATCATTATCATCATCATTATCAGCATCAGTATCATCATCATTATCAGCATCATTATCAGCATCATGATCAGCATCAGCATCATTATCATCATTATCATTATCAGCATCATTATCAGCATCATTATCATCATCATTATCATCATCATCATTATTATCATTATCATCATTATCAGCATCATTATCAGCATCATTATCATCATTATCAGCATCATTATCATCATTATCAGCATCATTATAATCATCATTATCAGCATCATTATCAGCAATCAGCATCATTATCCTCATCATTATCATCATCATTATCATCATTATCAGCATCATTATCATCATTATCATTATCAGCATTATCATTATCATCATCATTATCAGCATCATTATCAGCATCATTATCATCATTATCAGCATCATTATCAACATCATTATCAGCATCATTGTCATCATTATCATCATCATTATTATCATCATTATCAGCATCATTATCAGCATCATTATCAGCATCATTATCATCATCATTATTATCATCATTATCAGCATCATTATCATCGATATTATCAGCATCATTATCATCATCATTATCAGCATCATTATCAGCATCATTATCATCATCATTATCAGCATCATTATCAGCATCATTATCATCATTATGATCATCATTATCAGCATCATTATCATCAATATTATCAGCATCATTATCATCATCATTATCAGCATCATTATCATCATTATCAGCATCATTATCATCATCATTATCAGCATCATTATCAGCATCATTATCATCATCATCATCATTATCATCGTCATTATCAGCATCATTATCGGCATCATTATCAGCATCATTATCATCATCGTTATCATTATCATTATCAGCATCATTATCATCATCATTATCAGCATCATTATCAGCATCATTATCATTATCATCATCATCATTATCATCATCATTATCATCATCATTATCATTATTATCAGCATCATTATCATCATCATCATCATTATCATCATCATTATCAGCATCATTATCAGCATCATTATCATCATCATTATCATCATTATCATCATTATCATCATTATCAGCATCATTATCATCATCATTATCAGCATCATTATCATCATCATCATCATCATTATCAGCATCATTATCAGCATCATTATCAGCATCATTATCATCATCATTATCAGCATCATTATCAGCATCATTATCAGCATCATTATCATCATTATCATCATCATCATCATTATCAGCATTATCAGCATCATTATCATTATTATCAGCATCATTATCATCATCATTATCAGCATCATTATCAGCATCATTATAATCATCATTATCAGCATCATTATCAGCAATCAGCATCATCATCATTATCAGCATCATTATCATCATCATTATCAGCATCATTATCAGCATCATTATCAGCATCATTATCAGCATCATGATCAGCATCATTATCATCATCAATATCAGCATCATTATCAGCATCATTATTATCATCATTATCAGCATCATCATTATTAACATCATTATAATCATCATCATCTTCATCATCATTATCATCATCAACTAGTTAAATCAGAACTGATTTTAATATTTACTATATAAATCTATGTATCTACCTATTATTGCTTAGACCTCCAGACAAAGCAGTCATCAAAATAAAAGAGTCAGTTATGCATACCATACCCCAAGAACCCACTCTACCACCTGTCACGTGCGCACCATGCCTGCATGCAACTTTCTCTCTTAAAGCAGTCCCAGATACAACCAGGGACATGTTGCCAACAAGGAGAGGGGACGGAGGGAGGGACATAGGTAGATACATAGATTTATATAGTAAATAATAAAATCAGTTCTGATTTAACTTATTTACCACTATAAATCATATGTATCTACCTATTATTGCTTAGACCAACAAAGATGAAAGCGGGGGGCATGTCCCTAACAACAAGTTAGCGGGTCCCAAACAAAAGGTCAGCGGGGGACCAGACAAAAAGATGCCACCCCAAAAGATGCCGTAGCAAAAACACTCCTCACTCGTAGGAATGTCCTTAAGATAACACGAAGCAGCCTTCACAATAAAATGAAGTGCTACCCCATGGCAAAAGCCCAGGATGTACAAAGACCCCTGGTATCATGAGCATGAACCGCCTCCACAATCCATCCAGAGATAGATCCCTTTGAGGCAGATTTGACGGGCTCCCGCGTGATAAGAAACAGCTGAACGCTATCAAGGAAAAACAAAAAAACCCAGAGGGAAAGGAGAAAATCGAACCACCTACCGACTCCTCTCACCGAGGAGTAGCAAGGGTAATGGACGGTGGGAGTCTAGCCACCACCAACGGGCAAAAACCCTGAAAAAGACTAACCACAGCACAGAGCTTCACAAAAGCGGAGCTTAGCAAGACGGATCCCGAAACAGACCGAGAACCGGAAACACCAGAAAGTGTAACTGAGTCCAGTCAAGATACCCCAGGGGAAAGGGGCAAAGCCCCCACCAGCCCCCTGGGCGGCCGATGGACTTCTAAGCTGAAACCACAATCGAAGACTTGCAACCCGAAAGCAAACGCCTCCTACCCTATGCTGAAACGTTGGGTGACGAAGCCTGCCCACACACTAAGGTTTAGCTACAGACCCAGCACGATCATCACTACCACTCTACACCGCACCTTAGGCTGCAACGCCTGGTGGTAGAAGCCACCCCATGACCGGGGGCTCTCTGTCACGGAGGCAACGCAACTGAGAACCCGAGACAGAGTCCAAGTCAGACTGACAGACTGGTGGCACCAAATTCCCAAAATGGAGCAAGGTGTCGATAGTAGCTGCCCCTAGAGGAGCACTAAAAGACAGCTGGAGGCTTAACCCCAAAAAGGGCAAACAGCACATGGTGGCAAGCCAACAGCAGCATCAGGTAATCCAGGCCTAAAAGGTCTAACAGATGCCGAAGAAGCAACACCTGAGACTCAAAATCCAACCCGAAACTGAGTGTCAAGTATGACCGGGCCGGCTCAAATGCCATCCAAAGCTCTCTCCACTCTTCCCAAACGTGACAACCTCCCCCTGCCCCCCCCCCCCTACACACAGGTGTAATCATATTTCAGCTGGTGGTAAAAAGGTGTTGTGAACCCACATCACACAGCTCTCTGCACTCTTCTCAAACATGACAAACCCCTCCCCTACCCACAGGTGAAATCTTATATCAACTGGTGGTAAAATGGTCTTCTCAAACATGACAACCTCCCCCTGCCTCCCCCCCCCCTACACAGAGGTGTTATCATATTTCACCTGGTGGTAAAAGGGTGTTGTG